CGGCGATCAATCTGAGTTTGCTCAGTTATTGGGCGGCGACAGCACTGCATCCATTTTCCAATTGGACAATTTCGATCCTCAATTGCTTTTGGAGAATCCCACTGGACCTTTGGAAGTCACCATGGCTCCTATGGCTTTCAATGTCCTTGGCCAACCGATCCCCAACCTTTCTCAGCTTTCGTACTACGGACAGGACAGCCACTCGCCCATCCTCGACTCTTCATTTGGCAATGAAATTTCCCCACTCTTCACGACTGAGCAACCGACACCGGCGTATACAGACGAAGCGTCGCCTTATCCCGCCGACAAATTTTTCGATTACGATTATGGTGCCGCCCAAGGCATGTCTCACTCGCCGACTGCCGAATCTTCTCGGTCTTACGTCCCACCTGCGGGAGCAGCCAATGCTTCCGCTCGCCGTGTCGGAGGCACTTGGCGCCCGAGCCCTGTGGCTGTCTCTCCCATTGATCAGACCCCCGCATGGGATGTTCGCGCGTAAAGCTTGACGCGCGCGTTTGATCTCACGATATCTCACGACTACATCGCATCATCATTTCTTCTTTGCTTTCCTGTCCTCTTGCAATTCCCTGCCGCTGCTGTCTCGCATTAGCAAAACCGTCTCTTACTTGTCATTTTGCTTTCCCTGGTTCTACCCGCCTGCCCTTCTTTGTGTATATCTGCTGTCCTCCTGCTCTCCATCCAAAACCGCTCCTGCTGTGATTACTTATCAGTCCATCTTATTCACTCAATAAATTCCGATCTCATGTCCCCGCAAGTAATGATATTTCACCTGTACTATCCATCTATTATGTGTTGTATTTTGTTGAACAATGGAAACACGTGGCCTCGTTTCAAACTCCGCATTGGTAACCCAACGCATATGGCTCCATTGTGTTCCGTGTTTGGAGAACAATGCACAGCCACCAGACCCATCTTTCTAACTTCTCAAATCAGACGTTGAGCGTTGAGTGATGTCTGATCTTGATGACCAACAGATCATGACATGCGCCAGATTTGTGGTGCACTACCTCCATGTCTTCATCAGATGCCCAATCTTCTGCTTGTCCAATCCCGTTATCTCAGTCACCCGAAACCCCTCGTCCATCGTTCGCCAATCCCCGGCAGTTTATAGACCGATCGCCGACACCCGACTCTCAACGACGTCGTGCTTTCATCACAGACAAGTTGGCTCACCGCGTCGACCTCGCGCTTGCTCAGACCGCTGTCATGGCTTCTTCAGGGGTCATGGGGGGTAGCAACAAACCTCATACGTCGCCATCCAAGGTCCGTATCCATGACTAAGCCTGCTTTGCCGTAGTTATCCCTAGGCCAGGCTTCTTATGGCCGCACCTACGACTCAAAACTAGGTATGTCCTGGACGATGCGGTTGTTTTTCTGTGTAATAACTCTTTCGAAGTCACGCGTGAAATGCACAGATTAGGGAATCTCAGTCATTTGCCAACGGGATTGGCTCCGGGGCTCTCGCAGGCGCCTTCTGTTAACTCCCTGGCATTGCCTGCGCCAGGTAGCATGGCGCAAGTCAGCCTTGCCGCCACGACGAACTCCGATCCGTGGGGTGCCCTACATGTGTATGTTCTTCCATTATTCAACGGCGAGCCCTTGCGGATACCCATGCAAGTCCCTTCCGTTGTTCAACTGTCCTCTTTCCTTATCTCGTGTAGAGAGGATCTTAACGTTCTGGTCACTCGCCACATCTCGTCCGTCGTCTCTTCTGCCCCATCGAAGGCCATCGCAACTCTAGAGTCAGATGCGGCGGAGTTGATAGCCTCGGGCATGGTCACGCTCAATTCAAAGCTCTCGGGCACAGAGGACGAGTCTCTACTACAACGGGTAGTGGATATCTGGACTTTTTTCTGGGACGAAGTCCTAAGCTACGTTGAGGGTGTAGGTCTTCTGAACTACATCGACATGTGGATTTTAATGTGTTGCTCAGGCATTTGTGCCATTGCGTACTCATTCACTACTGGCTTCCCTCTATCGCAATAAACCTCATCGCCCTTCTTCGCCGAGGCAGTCCAGCAAAGTCAATGCTTCCGCACATATCAGCACGCCAAACTACATTGACGTCCGTATCATCGCCTTGCGCTCTTTTCGTGACAAACTGGTGGTGCCGCTCTGTTCACGCTTGCGCACATGCATACAAAATCGTGATGAGAAGGAGAATGAGCCATTACCGATGGTACAACCGCGACTGCAGCAAATGTATAGTTCCCGCACAAGCGTCGCCAAGATCGTAGCTGACTGATTTAGGCTGTTAGTTTTATCATCACTGAGCCGTCAACGGCCACCGAAGTTGTTAACGGCAGCACCCCCTGCCCCGTCAGTCAACGAAGCCGCCATAGGCGACCTGCTGCGTACTTTACGCTCTCCGCGGCGCCAGTTTGATGTCAAGTCGACTGCTGCGAGCCCCATTCTCACTCCAAGAGCTCCCAGTTTCCTGTCCGCTGGGCTGCCGCGTGATCGACGTGGTCGCATTGCTCAAAAGCCCAACAATCTCGTCGTCGCAGAAGAGAGTGACGAAGATGTCTTTGGAGACGAAACACCTCGAATTACGCAGGGACTGACAGACCGCGACCGTGGACGCGAATTTCTCGAATCATTGCGCAGTCCAGAATTAGATGCGCCGCCGCAGGGTGGCTGGGGCTTAGGCCCAGGCGATGGGACTGTGGAAGGCAACCGACCGGAGGAGGAGGACGATGAACCCCTCAACTGGGATGAAGCACAAGCCGTGGTTGAGAGGATGGTCGGCATGTCATATGGTCAGAGTCAAGAACCACGACGACGATAGGGAACCGGGTTTGACACCCACCCAGTGTATCTATTATCCCTGTGTACTACATCACATCGACAAACTCAGTTATCTGATGACACTCCAATGCCGAGCAGGCCGCCCCAGCCTCCTCCGATCTTCCCCAATAGAGAATAGAAGATGTATGGCCCAGATGGGGCAGAGAAGAAGTGAACATCTTCAAGCTTCGCTATTTCGGCTGAAAGCGGGTCGAGGAGAGCCGAAGGGCCCTTCAAGGTAGAAGGAATATTTGTTTTCGGTGCGAATTCCAGGTTCGAAAAGTTTTCGCTCGGTACTTCGATGCCAAGGGCATTGAAGGCGTCATACTCGCTCCCGCGACCGAAGGCACCGTTACCAAGCCATACAGCGACGTCCGAAAACTCGTCACTTTCACTGCTCTGTCCTGCGAGTGCACTCCCGCATAGTAACGTTTCAGAGATGGCATGAGCCGTGGTGGCGAGGTTATGGAGGTAGACGACGGTATCAGAGTCTGGAGGAGAGACACCTTCCGGAATGACAAGGGCGCGCGCGGAATTGAATGTCGCGCGTGGAAAACGATGGGCAGTGGAGTACATCGCTTGACGAAGGAAATGGCTCATGGCTGGATTGGTGCCTCTGATCGCTGCTGCTCAGAGCGCTCCAAGAACAGGTCACATGTCGTCGTCATAGCTGATGTGTGGAAGCCGAGACGATGGCTTGATGGCTTGATCGTATCATTGAGTCGGCAACATGACTGACGAATTATTGCCGACCTCTTAGTTCCTCCTTCTCCGCATCTGCGACCAACGTCGATGATAAGCCGTTCGCATGCTTGGTGAATATGGTCATTTATTTCGCGCTATTCCATCTCAAATCTTCCAAGTCGACAAATCATTCATCCACGCCTCACGCAGACATACTCAAACTCTCTGACCCCTCACCCATTGATTTTCCTTCGTCGCTTGCAAACACTCCCCAGAGAGACGGAAACAAACAGCAAATCTTTACCACCTCGAATTGATTCAGTCCCAAGTCTCATGTTCAGCTTCGCCCAGGACCATTGAAAGTTTCAAAACCCGTTTCCCCATCCTCGCCCAACTTCTCAAAGGAGGATGCAACATCGAACTCTACTGAAAAACCCACAATCCAGTCTGAAGAGTCCATTTCCCTGCAAGGGTTGAAGGAGGTTACCATCAAGGATATCAATGACGCGGAGAATCATGGTATTCTTGCCCCTCCACCTGCTGGTGCCGGTTGGGCGAGAGCGACTCTGCATAAGGCCATACAACTCGGAGTTCGTAGTTCTTTGCTATGATCTTCATGGTCTCATTGCCTGGCAGAAATTCTATTTCCGGGGTGTAAAGCTCGTCTATACGCGTTCTAAGATTGCGCGGGAAGTCAGACAACGGGTGGCCTCTGGAGGAGCGCCGTTGACCAGAAGAGAATTCCGCATGCTGCATACCCAAAGTGCTGATATGAAGCGGTGAGTTTCGTCGTGCTGTTTTTCACCCATTCTTACGGCATAAGATTGGTCCCATTCGTACTCATCGCTCTAGTTCTCGAAGAAGTCATCCCACTCATTGTCTTATACATGCCCTCCATGCTTCCCTCCACCTGTATCCTGCCGTCGCAACGCCAGCGCATTGAAGAAAAGGCCGTGGATAAGGCCGAGGCTCTTGTCACGGCTCACGGCAGAGATCTAGCTGCAATAACGCGCGCCGCCAACAGTGGGGAGCTAGATCTGGGTCGGCTTACGAAGGATGGGATATCCACAGTCGTCTGCGGGTCTGTGACCTTCGTATCTCTCTGCGAGTTGCTGTGTAATCTCCGACTGCAGGATGCTTCATCTTTCGACGAGCGGATTTGATTTTCTCCGAATTCGTCGCATTCGTCGGCATCTCGACTTTCTGGAGAACGATGACGCCTTGCTAGGCCAACAGGATGTCAAGTCACTGTCTCCTTCAGATCTCGTTCAAGCCCTGCACGAGAGAGCGATGTATGTTGGCCCAGCACATCTCGTCTCCGTCGACTCACACCTCATAGTGTCACGCGGGGCCTCGACGTGCACCAACAGCGAGGACGGTTGACTTGGTGGCTGAATTCCGTGAACGAGAAGGGTGGCACTACAGCTCGGCGTGCATTCCTGATAGCGCAGTTGGGCGCTCGTTGAGATATTTGATATATTATAATATTGTACACATCATAGGCTAAATCAGGACGCATGAGCTAGAGCCTGCCAATGGTCTTCGTCCCAAGGCCGAAGAAAGACGAGTTTCTGAGCCAAGCTCACAGCAGAGTTGTCACAGTCACCCTTCAGGGATAGAGACATGGCCTGGAGGGCGAGATGTTTCCAAGCTGGTGTATCTGAGGATTCGGTTGACAACAGCGCCACTGCTGCTGAGGGTTCTCCTCGTTGCACATTCAGCAGTGCCAGCTGCTGGCGAGCCTCTGCACGACTCGGTTCAGCCATCACACTGCCTTGAGCGATGGCCATCGCCAACGAGAGGTTCCCTTGACCCAGCCTGTGCTGTAGCAACAGATCATCGACGTCTCTCGACGGATCGAGCGTAAATCGTCGATCGGGAGGAAGTGCGAGCAGATCTGCGAGGGCGGCATCAACCAATCCATCGTCCTCTGTCAAAATGCCCATTCCAGCCAATGTGTTGATGGCCGCGAGATTTTCTGGATCAGTGGTTGTACTAAGGAAAAAATCAAAGTCGGACAACTCCTTTCGAGGAGCACTGACCAGTCCAGAAGATGCGCTTTGGCACTTTCCTTGCAATCCTCGGACCCGATCGTCCACATTGTTTGGGCAAGAAGCACAGCGATATGGCTTCGGATCATGGTCTCGCTGGCACTGCTCTCCAGCGCGCCTTCCAGCAGGGTGAGCGCAGCGTGCGGATCACCAGATTTGAAATTCGCCAGGCCCAGACCAAAGTGAGCGTGAGCCACTATTGTTCGAGCGGCTTGATCGTTGGAGTCTCCCAATAAACCCAGGACATTCTCGAACGACTCGGCGGAAGACTCGTAGTCCTGTAACGCGAGTTTTATTCGCGCGAGATTCAATGTCGCAATGATGAACTGGCGTTCCACGTCGGGATCTTCGGACTGTTCGTATTCGGCCTCGAGAATCGTGATGGCACGAAGCATCAGTTCATGGCCGTATTCTCTCTGTCCCAGGATCTCGCAGACGAGGCCAAACAAGTGCAGCGCGCAAGCGTCGTCAGGGCGACTGTGACGGTGGCGGTCCAGGACGGAGAAAGTCGGTAGCACGTCGTCAATTTGAATTGGATTGGCGTGCAGCCTCTTGATTGTGCGAGAGGCGAACTCCAAATCAGCTTCGGGCTGGTGATGTCTCAGAAGCTGTACATGATAACGAAACAAAGATAGCGTACCAAGGACGATGGCAAACTCACAGCGTGCTCTAGTAAAGCTGTGGAATCAACTTCGTGCCCGTTGGCTGATGCGACGAGGGCCTGGCCGACCCAAGCAACAGTCCATTCTGGATCGAGGGTTTGCGCTCTGAGAAAAGCTTGATTGGCCAAGTCCACATCGTTTTGGCGCAGATACAACAGTCCCAGATTCGACCACGTGCGAGCGTTCTGAAATAAGTGAGATTGACGCGATCCTGTCTGTTGGCCACGCCAACCTGGAAATCGATCTCGAGCGCTTTGATGTACGCATGTTGAGCCATTTTTGCATGAGTCAGAAAGTTTGCATCGCCAAGGCCGACCCAATATAGATCATTTCCTGGATCCTCTCGGAGTGCATGCTTGAGACTTTCTTGTGCTTGTGCTTGCACTCGAGTTTGCACGTCGCCAGTGAAAAGCTTGCGCGAGATGCAAAGCAACGACATTCCTAAGTCGTACCAAGCGCTCCCCAAAGCTGTATTATCTGTAGACCCGAGGCTGACACGACAGTCGTATGCGGCTATGGCGATGTGTAATACCGCGGCACAAGTGAGGGGAGATTTCAACTCCGGTTTCAGGAAACTTGCAACTCGTCCGCTCAAGTCTCGAGGAAGCAAAGTTATCAGTTTCTCCAAAACAGCGGTAGTCCCTATTTCATCGACGTATGCCGGCCTCGCGGAAAGATGGAAAACTGCATCAGCTGCTGTCTTCCACGCGACACTGCGAAAGCCTGGACTAGCCTCCAAGGCTTTGATTGCGGTCCGGAGACAAGTGATGAGCGATCCCTCGGCACGAGTCGGGAACCCGTTTGAGAGCTCGGAGCAGCCGAGATCAAGAAACGCCTTTGCTGAGGCGATAAGAACACCAATTTCCAACGGACGATCTATCAGAATGTTTTCAAAAACATCGATGGCCTCTTGATGTTGCCCTATTTGGTGCTGCACATCACCTAGGAAGAAGCGACATATCCAGTCCTCTGGCTCGAGTTCATGGGCGCGCTCAAGTGCCTTGATAGCAGCGGCATGACGTCCCGCACGACTGTAAGCTTCTCCCAATCGCAACCAGCAGACTTGATCGTCTGGCTCCGCTCGTAGTGTGATCTGGAAAGCCCGAATAGCAGCCGGATAGTTTGCATGTGCCTACACAGATCGATCAGGTGATTGTTGAATATTTATCAGGTCGCATACCAGTTCAACCACACCAAGAGCTTTCCAAGCCCAAGCATTTGTCGGAAGGAGACGGGCACTACTCTCGGCTGTGAGGCCAGCAGTCAAACCACCCTCTCCTTCGATTGTCCTCCGAGCAACTACCTCGACGAGGTCCCACTCGCGTTCATCAGCGAAACCCTCAGCCAATCTCCGAGCAGCCTCTGCTTCACGAGCATCAATCTCGAACGCCTTCTGGAAGCACTTGGAAGCTCGCGCAGCATCAGTCGGATTGGCAAATTCCGCATAGTAAATACCAAGAGAAGTGTACGAGGGGGCGTAGGACGAGTTGCGCTTGAGCGACTGGATAAAATGCCTGTATGCGTCTTCAATATGATTCTCTGCGACGTTACAGTCCCATTCGTCGCGCTTTATTGGAAAGAATTACCTCCCAAATCCCAGTAGGACGCGCCCAGTCGCCACAAACAGCGGGCAGAATCAGCTTCGGCCCCATCTCCCGTATCTAGCACCGTCAACACGCTCTTCAGAACAGTAATGCCTTCATCCAGATTTCCGGCGCGAGTTTGGCACCAAGCTTCTTCCTCTCTTGCCCGAATTCGCATTGGGGAGCTCTCAGCAAGTGATGCAATTGCCTGCGCAAAGACCTCTGCAGCTTCTGCCCAATGCTGCTGTTGCTGAAGAACGAAAGCACGACCCATGAGACCAGCAGTATTTGTCGGGGCCTGTCTGAGGATTTGATCCAACAATGACAGCGCACGGCTGTGATGCTTTGGTGGGAAAAGATGCACTAGAGATGTTGCTAGCGTGACATTGAAGCCGAGCCGAGTGCTACAAGTACCGATCAATTAAATTTCGACAACGAGCGCGTTCGACAGACTTGGGGAACTGCTTGCCAAAGTCAGCTTCAGCTCGGCTGAGAATTGACAATCCGTTCTCGGCGACCACCATTGAATTCTGATAGTCGGCCTCCGTCAAGTATACGCTGCCCATGATCTGAGTAGCTAACACCGAATCTGACAATGAAGCGAATGAATCCTGGAGAGAGAGAGAGTCATTGACTGAACGCGGAAGGACGAAGCTCCTGACCAACATGATATCGAACGGATCTCCATCAACCAGAATTAACGTTCCTCCATTCTCGTCGTCAACTAATGGAATGCTCGAGAATTGACAGAATGCTTTCAAAAACAAAGCGAGCCCTGATCGTGGGAGTAGTTGCATGAATTGTTGCAATAACCGCATCTCGAAGTGTGCTACAGAGTCGATCAGAATCACAGAGCAGACTGGCTCGTTTTGTGTGAGCCAACACACCGGGATCGATCCAATCTTTCCCGTCGAGATAAATAGACCATGCGAGAGCGTCTGGGAGACCCAGAGTGATCGCTCCTGCGGCCAATTCATCCACTTCACGCGCGACGGTAATCTTGACGCTGGAATGAGCAGGAAGTGCACAGAGATAACGATGCTTATATCTCAGCAATTTCGCATCTGTCTTCCTGCGCAAATCGTCCGATGTGTTTGGATGGTTCAATACAGCGTCATAGTAATGTGGTAGCTTCAGGTTTCTTGACATGAGCGCACGGATCAAGAACTGAAAAAGAACACACACCTGGGAGGAACTCCAGATCTCAAGTCCGACCTCTTTACGAAGTTGTTCAGGACTAGAAGCACCTAGACGAGTGCGTCGTTTCGCAACCTCGCTCAAATAGATGGAATCTTCTTCTTTCTCGATGATCCCAAGTATCTCTTCGAGCGTGGGCAGCGTATTGTGGATAGCCGATTGGATATGATACGCCGGTGTCATGTCGGGATTGATGTGATCGGGAACAGGGAGTGTGGAAAGTAACGGATAAAGCGAAGAATTCTCCAGGAGAAGGGACAACACTTCGACCAACTGGAGAGAGTGAGAGGACGCTTTCCACCTGACACTAGATGATTTACCTGGCGCGATGTTCCTTTCTCTCTTCGACAGTCGACAAGCTTTCCCAATGCCTCCACACACTTTAACGCATCGCCTCTTCGAACGTTCACTATTAGTGGGAAAGATCGCACAAAACAGCCGACATACAATTGCGCGAATAGATCAGTCAACCGTCTCGCTGTCTCAGCGTATCGATCCCACTGCTCGAAGCGCTCGTAGAATTTGAGTAGACCCTTTCATAGCTCAGTACGGCTCTGGTTCAGATAAGTTGTCAAACGTACCTGCCACGCTAATGGCTGTTCAGGGCTCGCGTCGATTGCGTGCTGGTAAGCCTTTCGAAGGGTCAGTGAGGTTCGGCTGATCGTTCGGGCACAGATTACTTGCTCGCTCATGGCATAGTTTCCCAGTTCAAGGAGCGCTAGGCCGAGAAAAACGTGCCTGAACCATAAGTTGAATGTGCATGAAACTCAGCGCGAAAGAAAAAATCTTGCGCGTTATAGTTGCTTGGGTCAAAGGCAAGCACACTCTCGGCCGCATCTTTAGCGGCGTCGAACTGCTTCTTGCCTATTGCATCGCGGGCAGCTTTCAGTTTTGATTTGACCACTGACATGAGAAGAGAGGAAAGATTAGATTTGATCCGTCCGTACACATGAACACACTTTGACATATAGATGCTACACCCTAGTCAAACGCCCTTTGCCTCTGGCAAGCTCGACATTCCGCCACATTGTGCGAGCCTCGTTAAATGCGGCAGACGATTCATCATACCCCCTTACAAACCGGTCGACCTCAGCGGCGAAATCTTGGCCGGATTGGATGAGATCACGAATGCCGGCAAGGAATGCCTCGAGCACAGCAATGTTGTGCATGGTGAGATAAGTGTGCGCAGACATTTCGTGTGTGTGCAGCAGATGATGAATGTACGCCCGTGAGTATGATTCAGGTCGCAGTCCACATGCGTCGTGGGTGTCAAGCTTGCTGTGCAAGATAACTGCTGGCGGGTTTTCGGGAGAACATGCTATACACGAACATAGAGGGAGTGCGCTAGCGAGGCAGGAGAAATCATGCGCATATCGATGGTCGTAAAGATTGTGTCCGATAGATTGCATCTCCCCTGTGCTTTGTATAGGGAAGGCAAAGTCGAGCGCAAAGCCGTAGTGCGCAGCATCTTGGGCCCACTTGGAATCAAATATGTCAACGCCGATGTCCCTTACCAACCGCAATAGATCATGCGGAGATACAACTGAGTTGACAACTCGAATTTTCGTCTGAGGCAATGGCTGTAAAGACTGTCGCAACAATGCAATCATGTTATCGGAGCCTTCGTTGGATATCTGGAGCCCCAGTCGCAAGGGAAGGAGATCGAAGGTGTACCCCATGACACCGTCGTCGAGACATCTGTCTGATGCAACGACACCGGCTTCGTCCTCGATGGTCTCCAGCAAACGAATTGAGAATTCGGCGCGCGCGGGACTAGAAATTCCTCCAGCCATATGTACCAGGATGTTTTGCGGACGGACTGAGGGACGGAGAATGTCCGCAAGCCAAGAAGCGGACCGTGCAAGCATTTTGCTGACGCGTTTCTGCGAGTGCGGAGGTGGTGTCCACGGTATATCGGGAAGAGCGACAACGAGATCGGGACTGCAGGCTTGAACACAGGAATGCCACGAAGCAGGAGTCACTTTGCGCACGCCTCTCCCAGTCGCGATCGAGACAGAATCATTCCCATTGGGTGGTAGTTCTCTCGAGTCATTGGGATCGCGCAAAGTCAATACGAGAATGTTTTGCTGCGGATCAAAACCGAGGAATGTGTGAAGAGGGTTCGTGCCCGTTTGGAGAGTGGGGATTGGCGGTGTATTTTCTAGACTGCGGCATGGGTGAGATGAATTTGATGCGCTATTCGAGATAGATCCACGCACAACGACTCGAACGGAACCTGGATCCAACGCAATGGAGATTGTCGCAATTGAGGATGATGATCAAGGGATAAATGAGGAATAACTCCTCGTGAAGTTGCAAGTGAGATTGCTGGAGTGCTCAGAGTTGTGCCCGCACGAAGTAGAATCCCGGTTCTCGGCCCGAAACATGAGCTGGGGTTGGTGGTGAATGACAAAGACATCATTGAGGACTCTGAGATGGAATTATCATCCAGTATGTATAAGGAGTACACAATGATGGGGGAATCTGTACTTGGCAGATACATACATCCAAGGGGAAGGTAAAAAAAACGAATGATCATGATATTACGGCATAGCAGATGCGATGCACAATAGGTACTTTTTATCGGTACCAACTCTACTTTATCCGAGTCCTCTGCGCTTGCAGATACTCCACGAAATCAACTAAAAATTGTACCTGTTCGTACGTCTCGACTGCTTTGATGCTGCGTCGCTGACGGACTATGTGGATCACTCGCTCGACCAATTCAATTATGTCTGACCGGATACCTGACTCTGCCTGGAGGAGAGGTTCCCTATTGGCCAACCAGCCACATAGGCCAAGCTTGAGGATCCAACAACAGGCTATCACACCAGCTCGGCCAACACCGCCACGACAATGAACCAGAATCGGGATTCCACGAAGCGTGTAAGATTGTATGAGGAGTGTCAGATGGAGGTCAAGATCAGCCGGCGAGAGGGGGGCGAGGCCTTCTGGAATGGGTATGCGTAGGACCGAAAGACCGAAAGACCTAGCAGCGATCTCGTATTCAGGCCACGGAGCCCCGAGAAAATCCAGCTCGACATCATCTAAGCAGCAGACTATGCATTTTACTCCCAGATGTTTTATTCTGCCCATGTCGCTAGGAAGATCGCGAGAAACACCGCATCGGCCTCTGACAGGACCATCCAATCGCACTGCAGAATGTCAGATGGTCTTTTGAAGCTGAAAATCAGCAACCACCTTTCTTTCCGGGACAAGAGGAAAGTAATAGGTTACCTATGGCGAAGCAGGGCATCTCCGACAATGGCTTCGAGACCAAGGAAGGGGTCACTGTCGATCCGATAGCAGCTTGCAGGTCTTCGTCCACACGCGACCGGTTCCTAAGGCCGATGACGGCTGTTTCACTTGCGACCGAGTGTCCAGCAGCAATGGCAAAACTGTTGTTTCTCGCGTGCACCGGGCGGGAGCTCGCAAGGAGTCGATCCAGGAAGATGGCAGGAGGGATTTCGAAAGCGGTGGGACCATGTGATGAAAGGGTGAGGTGCGAGGAGATGAGAGTTACGACTTCAACGGGGATGACGGCAGAGACGCTAGATCGCAGCGTTAGCCATCCCCAAAAGAGCACCGAACAGCCGAACGCACTTGATGGGATGCGTGGAGGAAGTTTTCACAGACGAATTGGGAAGTATGTTTGTCATCAAACGTTCTTTCAGGGCCTCCTCTAATTGATCACGAAGAGACATCGAATTCATCTGGGAGATAGATCCACACGGACCCAGGAGTACTGGAGCACATGTCTCTGTCATCTCGCATGGCCACCAGAGCTTGGCTGCAGCAGCTAATCGCTGACGCGCTTCAAGCTGACGAACGTGGTCCGGAAGGTGCATGGAGATGGGAATATAGAAGCTTGGGCAGCCGTGTGGCCCGTACTTGGAGATGGAGTGAGCGGAAAGGTGATGCTGCGACGCGAGCGACGCCAGGAGAAGGCTGGGAGGATGGATAATGTATGTTGAAGGGTGTAAAGGATCGTTAATCGACGAATGAAGAAATGATGTGGCATTCGTAGCTTCGCGAGACGTGGTCAAGGGCTGAGGAAGTTGAGCTGACTGAGGTAACACAAGAGTGAGAGACATCGGATGGGGATATCGTTTGAATGTAATTCCAGTCGGAAGAGAATGATGTCGATGTTTCCGAAATTGTGCAAGAGTAAGCCTAGTGGACGAAGTAAAAATAATATGACCAGTCTCCGCTGTCGATGTGAACAACTTGCGTAACACGTTGTCACAGAAAATGTCACGCTGTCACTTCTCGTAGCCATAGCTCCTCCTCCACTTACGCCTTCCCTTCATTCCCCCTCCGCTCGTTTGCCCGTCTCTCTGAGATGGCGATTCGGTTTCAAACGCAGTACGACTTTACCGACGTGCCGATTCCCACAAACAGGGTCCCAATACAATCGTCTGGAACAACAGTGCGACGAGCGAAGACTCTTACCCGCCCAGAGCGTGGAGTTGCTCCAGTTCCCCTCGTCGGGCCGTCGGCCCACCCTGTGGGCCCATCATCTATCTCAGAATATGGCGGTTCAGATGCCTGGCGCATTATTAGTCTTGTTCTAACTTTCTGGGCGCCTGATGTCCTGCTCGGCAGCATTGGTGGGCTGCGGGACAAGCAGATTCGCCAGGCCTGGCGTGAGAAAATGGCCCTTTGCATGATAATAGCCGTATTATGTGGGGTGGTTGCTTTCATCACCGTCGGTTTCCAGAAGGTGCTTTGCACGAACACCCAGGCAACAAGTAGCCGGTTTATACGCATGAACACTACCGCACAAACCCTAGGCGTCCAGGGTGTCGTCTTCAATATCAGCTCTGCCCAATCCCCATCGAATCTTTCTTTTCCTGCTCTTGCTGCCAAGATGCCGGGCCAGGACATCACCCAATATTTCGCCCGCACCACCAGCGACTACCCCAAATGCGCAGGTTTAACTGCTCGTGCTGCACTGGACACACCATGCACCTCCATTACGCCCTGTCAATTACCGAACCTCGGCCTCGACTCTACATTCAGTGCACTGGGTTTCAAGCGCACCAATTTTGTCATTGGCTATTCGTGGGACCAAGTCGGAGCACTCGCCAACTACATCGTGCTGGACGGAGCAGTCCTCAATTTTACGACATATATGCTCAATCATCCCAGTGCGATACCTGCTGATCCCGTGGATGCTGCTCTACGCACGTTGCTATCGGGTCCCAATACGGCGAGCGGCAAAGATGGGACGCGTCTGTTTACTTCGCGTCCGGAGCTCAAATCTTCGATCCAGTGTCTCCAGGAGCGCTACTATGCTGGCAACATCGACAAAGTCACTCCCGGCTGCTTCATCACCACCCTCGTCCTCTACCTTGGTCTTGGTGTCATCCTTGGCCTGGTCCTTATTCGCTTTGTGATGGCAATCATTTTCAAATTTGTGCTATCCCGTCGGCTCTCCGGCAACCCCGATAAACAGTCGTTGAACCGGTCGGCCATAAGCCCCGCAGTGATGCCAGGGGGTGCCAATGTTTCTATAGACAACAAGAACGGAACTGCCCCCTGGTCCAATGGTCCCAAGAAGCTCGCCAAAGGAACGAAGGGCCTGACGTCGCAATCATCCTCCCAAACAGACCAAGGACCCATCATGAGTCTGGCGCAGATCGGCGCGGAATTGTTCACGGTCTGTCTTGTTACATGTTATTCCGAAGGAGAAGAGTCGATACGAACAACATTGGACGCTATCTCCAAGACGACCTACTCTGATGCCCGCAAGCTTCTGTTCGTTGTGGCCGATGGGATGATCACAGGTGCTGGCGAGAAGCGTAGCACACCCGACATTTGTGTGAGCTTGTTGGACGCCGACCCTCGATTTGGGGAACCGATTCCGATGGGGTACCTCGCGGTCGGGTCCGGGGCGAAATCGCAGAACCGTGCCATGGTGTATGCTGGTCATTACAGTGAGTCTCTCTTCCACGTTACACGCTTGATTGATCAGATCATCTCGTCCAGCTGTAGCCGGACGGCGCACACCCACCGTCATCGTCGTCAAGTGCGGAACAGAGCAAGAAGCTCGCACGGACAAGAAACCCGGCAATCGCGGCAAGCGTGACAGTCAGCTCATCCTCATGAATTTCTTCTCCCACGTGACCTATAACGATCGAATGACTCCTCTCGACTTTGACCTCTTCCGGAAGATCCATATACTCATGGGTGTCACGCCGGATTTCTTTGAAGTTTGCCTGATGGTACGTCGAGCTTGATCATGTAGACCTGCATGCTGATGATCAATTCAGGTGGATGCCGATACCACGGTTTTCCCTGAATCATTGCGCCATCTTGTCAACTGTATGCACCACGACCACATGATCATGGGTGTCTGCGGCGAAACTCGTATAGCGAACAAACGGACTTCCTGGGTCACCGCCATCCAAGTCTTTGAGTATTTCATTTCCCACCACCTGGCGAAGGCCTTCGAATCTGTCTTTGGTGGTGTCACGTGTCTTCCAGGGTGTTTCTCCATGTTCCGGCTGAAGGCGCGAAAATCGACGGGCGACGATTGGGTTCCCCTCATTATCAAGCCCGAGATCGTGAAGGAATACAGTCAGAGCGTAGTAACTACACTGCACCAGAAGAACCTTCTTCTCCTGGGAGAAGATCGCTTTCTGACGACCATTCTGATCCGGACCTTTCCAAATAGGAAGATGATGTTTCTTCCTCAGGCTCGATGCCGAACACTCGTTCCCGACACTTTTTCTGTTCTGTTATCTCAGCGCCGCCGATGGATCAATTCCACTATCCACAATCTCATGGAGCTAGTTCTCGTCCGCAATCTGTGCGGGACCTTCTGCTTCAGCATGCAGTTTGTCGTTTTCATGGATCTTCTCGGAACCGTTGTGCTTCCGATTGCTATCGCTTTGACATACAGTCTAATCGTGGGTTCGGCGTTGAACCCGCCGAAAACATTCGAGGAGGCCATCCCCGTCATGCTACTCGTCGCTGTTCTCGGACTTCCCGGCGTGCTCATCATGATCACCACCGGCAAAATCGTCTACGTGCTTTGGATGTTGATATATCTTCTCGCCCTGCCAGTCTGGAACTTCATCCTCCCCGTATATGCGTTCTGGCACTTCGATGACTTTTCCTGGGGCGAGACCAGGTTCGTATCATTGACTGATGTGTTTCCCGCTACTTATCGTTGAACAGAAAAGTGGAAGGCGAAGGTAAGGACAAGGGACATGGCGATGAAGGAGGTGCGATAGGTGCTGAAATTCCCTTGCGACGATGGGAGGATTGGGAAAGATCTCGGTTGCGGAAGCTACGACGTGAGGAACGACGACGGAGAGACTTGGAGCGGATGCACCCTGGTGGATTTTTTGGTGCAGAGGGTGACCTGCTTTCTGTGCAAGACACTCGGAGCCAGTACGATGGTTCGGATGCCCAGTCTTTGGCCTCTTCGGACGACGACCATTGGGGACCTCAAATTGGCGGCTACAACGAATACAACGCACAGTATCCGCCGCCTCCAGTTGCACTCAATGTCCCCCATGAAACCGACCTCGAGTCAGCGCAAACACTTGATTCGAAGGAGCTGGAGGCTATGCTGGAGATGGGCTTCGACGACAAACCTGCATCCATGGCCGGAACGCGCTACCAGTTGCAGGATGGATCATCATCGAGTCTACAGCTCAGCAACGCAAACGGCAACGGCTATTCACCGTTAACCGCCGGGCAGCAAGGACCGGTTGTATTCTCCCCCACGACCCCTACAGCGCCAACCGGCCCTGGTCGAGGTATGCGACAAGGGTCACGTGCAGAGCCACGGTATGGGCCTCTGGGGCCTCTGGATCCAGCCACACAATTCTGATCGTTACCCTATACCCGGCTTTCAAGTAATTTACCATACCCTGCTGCATCGTATCCGCATATCGCATCACGCTCACATTCGTTTCCAAAATAGAGTCGAGTAGCTTCTCTGTAAGAATAATTGAAGGGAATGGTGTCGGACGGACTATTCATTTTGGCTGGTATGAACTGACAGCATTAGACAAGTCAGTTTTCAAAGATAGCAGTGGTCCTGGGCACTCCTTTCCCACTGATTCATTTGGTTGAGTCTTTTGGTTGATCTATGCACTGTTCCTTGGAATCTCTTCCCAGATGTTTACTTGGTAGCCAGCACCTCTTTGGGTGCCTGGATTTCAAACTTATAGCTACTAAAGTGACTGCAAAGAGCATTGATATTGCTTCCAGGAGATTTTCTTCTAATCTTTCTACCACATATTTCTAAGCAAATGCCCCAATCTGGTTGGGCTGGGGTAAAAGGTGCATTGATGTAAATCATGTTCTGCACCTCCAGAGGTTATGAGCTACTGCCTGCTAGCCAGCATGGAAGAACAACTGTAGGGAATGTACATGTTGAGTGTAAGGGCAACCTCAAGACTCAATCTCAGAGTGCTGGCAAGGGAGAATCCAAAGGTGAATAAGTGTGTAGCTAGGTACAAGACTGGCATACCTGGCAAGGGAGAATCCAAAGAGAAACTGTGTTGGGGATTCTCCTTTACACTGGCAGATCATTAATAAAATGGGCCATAAAGTATGCATTATGTTTCAAATATTGTTGCACAAAAAAAGTAAACTACAATAGGTACTCCAATATCTTTGAAAAAAAAAGCCCATAATCTTCCCCCATTATATTGTTGATGTGTGGATATTGTGTGTGCTTGGTTCAGACAAAGGGTGTGACATTACTCCATGATGCGTAGTATATAGCATCAGATCAATGTGACCTACTGGGCTTTTCGCCTCCCATCTGTGCCCCTAGCCTCCTGCGGCTCCCATCTGTGTTTTCTGTGTTCAACAGGTTATGGGCCCTGCTCTGACCCATCTTTAACCCCTCTTCTTCTCTCCCTGCCCCTTATTGGCCTTCCCCTTGCTGCATATTTTTCCGATTCTGCCTGATCTCCATTCTGCCACCATCTGCCACCTCCAGGACCACCATTTTGACCTCATCCACCTGCACAACCATATTGGAGAAAGGGATTGGGATGGATCAGCCAGATCTTGGGTAGAGATGTTGGGGAGGGTGTCAGATTTATGCAGATGAGTTCACAGCTACCACACAGCTGCTACATACACACATTCCCCTGGAGTGCCCCCTGCTTCACCCCTCTTCCTCAGCCACTCTCCCTGCTCACACTCCTCCCTCCTTTCCTGATTTTGATGGATTTTGATGGATTTTGCTCTGTGCTGCTGCCCCTTGCACACACCAGTTCCCACCACCCTACCCTGTCTTGTGAAGGCTGAAAATCATGTTGGATCCCCTTGGATCTTGTTGGATCTTGGTGGATTGGACAGATCTTGTTGGATCTCCCTGGATCTCTGCTGGATCTTTGCAGATCAACTTGAATGCTGAAGAAGACTCGAATTGGGTGCAGGGTGTTGAAGTAATGGCTCGACTGGCCATATAGTCGGTGCGCCTCACACGTAAAACCTCCTCCTTAATTTGTACATCTTATCTATCCGATCACTTACTGATCGGTTTCACACTCGATCGCATACATAACAGCCCCTCATTACCTATTTTCCCTCAGTCGTTTGCTCTACTCCGTGCACCCGACTGAGGTACGTACCTACTGCTCCGTTCCCATACTTCCTACTTACTTACATACACGCATTAGTCTATTCTTTCACAGGTATATACAAATACAGTCGTTTTCTCTACTCCGTGCACCCGACTGAGTCTATTCTTTCACAGGTTATGGGCCCTGTTGCTTGAACCCTCTGAACGAATACAAAACTCGACGCACGAAGCCTCGATCTTCACGACTCAAGATCTCTTTAACTCGATTTTGCAAAATACCGTACAAGCTCTATACTGGACATTGTTGTCGCGCCCCTGACCATGTCAATGAAAACGGTCCAAACTCTCCCTGACAGTGAGAAGTTCAACGGAACCGGATTCAGTGGTTTCAAAACCAAGATTATCGTACTCGCGAATGCCGCCGGACTCGGTGCATACTTTGAAGGGAATATCCTGAAACCCTCTCCTCCTCCCGATCAAATTGGAGTGGCCCCGACCCACATATCTCTGCCTCCCAATCCCACACCTGTCTATTCGCATTCCCCCAGCCTCGATGAGTGGGTGTATCGTGACTCCATTGCAAAGGCCCTCATTGTCCTGAACGTCAAAGACCCTATTGGCCTGGGCATTAAGACAGACGGCACAGCTGCGGAGGCATGGAGCTCACTCACCAGCAACTATGGGCAGAATAACCCAATGGCCCAGCTTCATGCAAAACGCGACCTTCACACCACGTTCCTCAGGCCCGGCGTCCCAATTCTGGAACACGTATTGCGCATGCGCAACCTCTGGAAACAAGCCAATGACGTGGGAGCGTCAGTTACCAATGACCAGTTCAAGTCGATATTTATCGGGTCACTGAACGAGGAGTGGGACACGGTGATCCCGCTCCTCTACGGGATGAGCACCTCTGCCGAGATTATCAGTTTCGTCACCATGCACTCCGTACGCCTGGCAAATCGAGCAATCACCTCGTCAACCCCAACTGGAACCCAGGCTCTTGCTACCAATACCAACAGCGACCATGACGCTTGACGTGCAGCTCGGCAAAACCTGGTCTGTACCAATGCTCAGTGCGGTGCAAATGGGAAACAAGGTCACACCATCGCGGACTGCTTCTGGCCTGGCGGAGGGAAGGCGGGCCAATGGCCGGCTTGGTGGAAAGGGAGACGTGATGGGGCTGCCGCGAATGCGGTTGACACTTATGTCCTTGCCGCCTGGAGTATCCCCGCTGCAACCATTAATGTTTATGATTGCGCCGGAACACAAACGGTTCACCTGGATGGGGAGAACCTACTTGCATCACCCGAAACACTGATGAACTGGCGCGAGGCCACCAAGGCGACTATATCAGTGTCAGTACTGACGAGCGTGGATCCACCAAACCCCACATCCATGGTGCATCCGCAGCTTGATCCGTCGATTAGCGCAAGTGACAAAGATCCTGTCTCGAAGATCAACGGGGTAGCCAAAGACAGCAACAGCGAAGATGCTACTCCCGTCGTCTATGTGAACGCCGCCGTCACCGAGAAAGCATACATCGTGGTTGCTGACTCCGCTGCCAAGACCACTGCTTCCACCGCCACGAGGATTTTGACCAGTATGTCCCTGTGGATCGCCAGGGAACCGCAGCTGGTGGTTCCAAATTTTGCATTGTCGCAACTGGGACTGTTACCAAAACTGTCATGTTCAATGGACGCAGAAAGACAATCACCTTGAGCGCCCTCCATACTCCCGAGCTTGCCATCAACTTGGTGTCAATTCCCCGCCTCGATGAAAAGGGCATTAGCACCGCCATTTCAGGGGGTGTTGCAACGTTCTCCGATGCGGCTGGACACCCGTTCATGCAGGCTAAATGCGTGGACGGAATGTATCGCCTGGACTTCGAGAGCTCCAGATTGACCGTTGCATTGAGTGCGGACTCCCGCGCCAAACCTGCTGACAGAGAAACGTGGCATCGCCGGCTTGGTCACATTGGCAACACCAGACTTGATGCGCTGATGGTGAAAGAGACCGTGAAGGGACTGGAGGTGGTTGATGGGGAGGAGCATGGCCTATGCAAGGACTGCATCACAGGAAAACAGACACATTGACCGTTTGACGGAGATCACGAACGAGAGCGTGAAATCAGTGAATGCCTATACATCGACCTTTGGGGTCCAGCGCAACTGACAGGAATCGGTGGAGCGCGCTTCCTGTTTCATGCAGTCGACGGACACAGCGCTGGTGTATGGACTTTTGGCTTGAAGTCAAAGGAGGCGTCAGGGACGTTAGAGGCGTTCAAGCGTGTGAAGGCGGAAATCGAGACTCAGAGCGGAAATCGAGTCAAACATGTGCGGACTGATGGCGGAGGTGAATGGAAGAACGCACTATGGGATGCGTATCTTCTGGCTGAGGGGATCATCCCGGAGGCTGTGACACCGCACTCTTCAGCACAGAATGGTGTGGGTGAGAGGGGCATACGCACCACAATCGAGATGACGCGCTGCATCCTGGCTGACTCTGGTTTGCCGAAGTCTTTGTGGCCAAAAGCAACAGCGACAGCGACGTACCTCCAATGGTTTCATCCAAAGAAGCGCACTGGAGGAGTGACACCATGGGAGGTCTTCCACGGTGTTAAGCCGGACTTGTCCCACCTTCGCGTCTTTGGTTCCACCGCCTACGCCAAAATCATCCCCGCTTCGTCGTCCAATGGAAAGCTCAGCACGCAGACAGTAAAAGTCCAGATGGCCGGCTACAATGGAACCGCGGGATATCAGATGTGGGATGCGGGGAAACAGCAATTCTTCGATGCTCGTGATGTGATTTTCGAGGAGGGCAGTGGACATTGGTCGCAGGCGTCGACAGCAGGGGGAGATGTGGAAGACCAGGCTGCTGAGCCTGAACTCAGGGCTGTCGAGCCTGTGCCGCACGTTCCTGTTATCGTTGTTCCTTCCCAGACTGACCAAAGTACTCCTCCTGCAGATGTCCTGAGTGCGCCAACTCCTGCGATTGCACAGTCGGATCCCATCCCAACCAGACGTTCAACACGACAGGCCGTGGCTTCTCGAGCTAAAGGGCAATCGCATACTGCTGAGTCCATTGAATCAGCGGCAAAAGCAGCTGGTGAAGACTGGGCGACGAACTCCAAACGGCCCAAGCGGACGCGAGCCACGAAGGCTTTCAACATTTCAACTCTACCGGTACCAAAGAGCTATCAGGAAGCCATGGAGCAACCTGATCTCTGGCTTGGTCCGATGGAGAAGGAGTATGCGTCGCTGCTTGGTCGGGAAGTGTGGAGAATCGTTCATCCACCTCCCGATGTGAATGTTATTGATTGCAAGTGGGTGTATGCAGTCAAATACAACGCAGCTGGGGAGATCATCAAGTGGAAAGCACGCCTGGTCGCTAAGGGATTCCAACAGATTGAAGGAGTCGATTTCTTCGAAACATATGCGGGCGTTGTCCGCTATGAATCGTTGAGAATGCTCTGGGCCATCTGCGTGGATGAACCTGGCTGGGTGATGTGGGCGATGGATGTTGTCAGTGCCTACCTCAATGCTAAGATGACGGAAACGGTCTATATACGTCAACCCGAGGGATTCATAGTCCCAGGGCAGGAGGACAAGGTCTGCCTGATGTTGCGCTCACTGTACGGGATGATGCACTTGGGTTGCAACTGGGCTCATGACCTCAATGTCTCTCTGGGTGCCTTAGAATGGGTTCGATCGCGTGCAGATCCGGCAGTACGGATTTGGCATAGCGAGGCAGGGACTTTGATCCTGGGTGTCTATACCGATGACATGGATGGGAGTGCCCCTAGCCTCCTGCGGCTCCCATCTGTGTTTTCTGTGTTCAACATATATTGGCTATTGTGTCCCAAACTAGGACAAATGATTGTTTAGATATTGTGTCCCATTAACATGTACTTTTCTGTAGTCAGTTTTTTGATGATATCACAGCTCAATTATATTTTAAAGATGGTGAGATACAATATTGACCACAATTTCCAACAAAAAAACCCCAAAAAATAAGTGTGTCAGATATTTGAGATATTGTGGCCTGAAACGGTTTGCACAGATATCTGGAAACCCACCTGGTATACCCAGATGGGGAAACACTAGAAAAAGGGCTGAAAGAGGATTGGACGGAGATGAATCTGAATCAAGCTGTATTCTGTTGAGCACTGGGGAGAGCGTCTAGCAACCCACCTGTGTGAGTTGAGAGCTTAGTGTGGGCACTATGCGGGAGTAGTCATGTTGATAAAATGGCTGAACCAGGAATTGAACCTGGGACCTCTGACTTGGATCATCCAGTGCTCTAACCACTGAGCTATTCTGCCTTGGTGCTGGGATTCCCAACTCCAACAAGCCAAGAGACTTGTATTAAAGGGTAATAGAGCACTCCTTATATATGATACTGTTGAACTCAGAAAACACAGATGGGAGCCGCAGGAGGCTAGGGGCACAGATGGGAGGCGAAAAGCCCAGTCTGTCACATTGATTTAGAGCTATGCACTGATGGTCACATAGCTAAGTAACACTCTTTTGTCTGAACCAAGCAAGACATCCTTTCCACACTTCAACACTCCCACCCTTGGGAAGACAAAACCAATCAAACAGAACACTCCCACCAGATCCAAGGCCACTCCCACCCAACCTAAGTCCGTCTTGGAGACAGGAATGGTCCACTAGGCCCTCCACCAATCTCCGCTTCATTGGACATCTGGAACTCATCCCACATCTCAAAGAAGCTCTCCCTGGTCAGACCTGCCTCCAGTGCAGCAGAGATAGCTGCAGAAGCGGAGCTGCTCTTGCCATTAGCCAGGATCCAGTCCTTCACAAAGGTGGGCATGGTGTGCATGCACTTGTGAGCAATGTGGCCAGTGCGTCCACAGCGATGGCAGCCCCTGGTGGTAGGGTCACACCAACGAAAACCTTGGGAATCCAGCGGAAATCTGTCCTGGGCAATGCTGCCAGTGATGGGGGAGGTGTATGATGACGTGGCAGATGCTGTGCCTCGACGTGGCGCCGATGCAGCCAGGGCCAGGCTCGAAATATTGCCATCTTCAATTTTGAGAACCACTCCAGGGTCTGAGCTTGAGCTGGCAAGCTGGGTGATGCAGTCTTCGAGTTTGGGCTCAGGAGAGCGTGCAAGGAGGAGGATGGTGCGGACTGTGTAGAAGGCTGGGTGAAGATTCATGAGCAGGACATCTTTGTGGATGGTGGAATCGATGGAAACACCCATGGCAGCCAGTTTCTTCACTGCATCTCCTACAGCTTGAATGTAGACGTCTATATCCTTGGTGGGGTCATGGGAAATGGAGTGCAGCTCAGCGCTGGCAGCCATCCTGGTGCTCATGCTCGATTTTTCGAAGTGGGCCTTGAGGGCAGCCCAGGCAGCAGTGGCAGACTCGAAATCATCCAGGAGGGGCTGGTACTGCTCCTCTATCTTGGTGTAGAGGTAGGGGAGGAGCATTCTGTCCAGAGCAACTTGGTCAGACTCATCTGCTTTTGGCCCTTTCCCCATAACCCAAAGTGCGTCCACTCCCAGCAAAAACACCTTGAATCCCTTCCCAAACTTGGCCCAGTTGTCCTTCCCCAGCATAGGAACAGTGGTGAGAACAATGGTGAGGGCTGAGGTGATAGTAGGCGCCATGGTGGTGCAGGGAGAAGCGGTAGGAGCGTCGGGGAAAACCGGAACAGAGGGGAGAAGCAAAAAGAGCGAAAAAAAGAGCGAAAAATGCGCAGAGGGAGCAAGGAAAAGGGTAGATGGATAGGTCAGGGCGGGGCCAATAACCTGTTGAACACAGAAAACACAGATGGGAGCCACAGGAGGCTAGGGGCACAGATGGGAGGCAAAAAGCCCAGTCTGTCACATTAATCTAGGGCTATGTACTGATGGTCACATAGCTAAGTAACACTCTTTTGTCTGAACCAAGCAGGACATCCTTTCCACACTTCAACAGATACAGGGGGCTGTTTGTGTCTATTTAGGACAAGTCAACATGACTCTAGATGACACATGATGGAGTCATAGATGTGTATCACAACATCCATCTTGACAGATGATATTTGATCGACACTCCCCCACGCTGAAAACTACAGGGTAGTGTTTGAAAGCGAAATCTTCATCGGCCATTCCTTCAGGACGAGTTGAACTCAAGTTCTAGTTGAGACCTGAACTCCTCGAACTTGACACGTCCTAGGTTCTTGGTGAACATGTCTGCAGAATTCTCACTGCCCGGAATAAAGAACACTTCAACCTCTTCTTCCTCGACTTGCTCACGAATGTAGTGATAGCGGATGTCTATGTGTTTCATCCTGCGGTCTTGGTAGGCATTGCTGCCACTGAAGAGTGCACCCTGATTGTCACCGCAAATGGGTACTGGGATGGTGAGCTTGAACTGGAGTTCCGAAAGGATGCTCTTTAGCCACATCACCTGGTGACTACAATCTGAGATCGCCATGTACTCTGCTTCGGTCAAAGACTGCGCAACAGTGCACTGAAGTCTAGACTGCCAGCAGATAATCCTGTCAGCCAATTTCGTGAAGAAACCAGTGGTAGACCTCCTCTTGATCGGATCAGCGGCCCAGTCTGAATTGCTAAATGCAATTAGCCCTCTATCCGTTGCACCATTGAAAATGAGCAAATAATTCCTAGTACTAGCCAAATAGCGGCAGATATAGAGCACTTTATGGAGGTGGTCTTGAGACGGATTGGCAGCAAATTGTGACAATTTGGTCACAGCAAATGCAATGTCAGGACGTGTGCCTAGCATGATGAAGAGAAGAGATCCAATGACTGATTGGAATTTCTTCCTGAGTTCTGGATCAACTTCATCTGTTGAAGTGTGGTGCTCCTCCCCTACCTCTACACCAAGATAGAGGAGCAGTACCAGCCCCTCCTGGATGATTTCGAGTCTGCCACTGCTGCCTGGGCTGCCCTCAAGGCCCACTTCGAAAAATCGAGCATGAGCACCAGGATGGCTGCCAGCGCTGAGCTGCACTCCATTTCCCATGACCCCACCAAGGATATAGACGTCTACATTCAAGCTGTAGGAGATGCAGTGAAGAAACTGGCTGCCATGGGTGTTTCCATCGATTCCACCATCCACAAAGATGTCCTGCTCATGAATCTTCACCCAGCCTTCTACACAGTCCGCACCATCCTCCTCCTTGCACGCTCTCCTGAGCCCAAACTCGAAGACTGCATCACCCAGCTTGCCAGCTCAAGCTCAGACCCTGGAGTGGTTCTCAAAATTGAAGATGGCAATATTTCGAGCCTGGCCCTGGCTGCATCGGCGCCACGTCGAGGCACAGCATCTGCCACGTCATCATACACCTCCCCCATCACTGGCAGCATTGCCCAGGACAGATTTCCGCTGGATTCCCAAGGTTTTCGTTGGTGTGACCCTACCACCAGGGGCTGCCATCGCTGTGGACGCACTGGCCACATTGCTCACAAGTGCATGCACACCATGCCCACCTTTGTGAAGGACTGGATCCTGGCTAATGGCAAGAGCAGCTCCGCTTCTGCAGCTATCTCTGCTGCACTGGAGGCAGGTCTGACCAGGGAGAGCTTCTTTGAGATGTGGGATGAGTTCCAGATGTCCAATGAAGCGGAGATTGGTGGAGGGCCTAGTGGACCATTCCTGTCTCCAAGACGGACTTAGGTTGGGTGGGAGTGGCCTTGGATCTGGTGGGAGTGTTCTGTTTGATTGGTTTTGTCTTCCCAAGGGTGGGAGTGTTGAAGTGTGGAAAGGATGTCTTGCTTGGTTCAGACAAAAGAGTGTTACTTAGCTATGTGACCATCAGTGCATAGCTCTAAATCAATGTGACAGACTGGGCTTTTCGCCTCCCATCTGTGCCCCTAGCCTCCTGCGGCTCCCATCTGTGTTTTCTGTGTTCAACATCATCCTCGTTTGGCATTGGAACATATCCAGCCGGTAGAGGGGTCGATGCAAACTTTGCGTTCTGCATCCCAAAGCGCTCTAGCACCTTGTCAAGATAAGAAATCTGATCAATCTTGATCGAAGATCCTACTCTACTGAAGCGTACGCGCAAAAAGTCTGGAGTATCTTCAGAATTACGGCATTCCCATCACTTGTTGAACTCAGCCTTGAGAAAGGCAAGGAGCTTCTTGTTCTTGGAGAAGAACAGTGCATCATCCACATAGACTATTATAATGGCTATGCTGCCATCAGAGTCCTTGTAGAAGAACACGCCAGCATCCAATGTTAGTCGGATCTAGCCCATGGCTTTCGTGGACTTGATCAGTGCTTTCCACCATGCTAAAGCAGCTTGTTTGAGTCCATAGATTGCCTTGTGCAAGCGCAAAGTCATGTGCAAGTGCATGACTTTGCGCTCTTGGCCTCTCACCACAAAGCCTTCAGGTTGTTCCATGTAGACCTCTTCATCAAGCTCTCCATAGAGAAAAGCCTTACTGAGGTCGAGTCCAGACCAATGCCAATCATTTAGCGCTGCAAGCGCCATGACCAGCCAGAACGTCTCATACCTGACGACAGGAGAGAATGTCTCATCATAGTCAACACCTTCAACTTGACTGAAACCCTTGGCAACTAGGCGGGCACGTTTTCGGCCATCAGATTTTTGGTCAAAGACCCAGCGACATCTGATAACCTTCCGTCCTTTCGGTGTTGGAGTTGTTGGAGTATGGGTCCAAGCACTATCGGCAGAATAGCTCAGTTGGTTAGAGCACTGGTTGCACTTATCAGAGGTCCCAGGTTCAATTCCTGGTTCAGCCATTTTACCAACATGGTAGCAGCAACTCACAGACATAAGTCGGCCTGGAACACACTGGCGTGGACCACTGCAGTCTGATGAGTGCCTAATGATAAATGGTGCCACCCCGTCCTTGACAGGCACAGTGCCAATGGTGCTGTGATACCAGGGGAGTGTTAGAGTTGGGAATCCCAGCACCAAGGCAGAATAGCTCAGTGGTTAGAGCACTGGACGATCCAAGTCAGAGGTCCCAGGTTCAATTCCTGGTTCAGCCATTTTATCAACATTCGGACGGTCCACAAGGGAATAGACCTTGCGCTGACAAAGTGCCTCTAACTCGTCGCGGCAAGCATCAATCCAACCTTTCTGTTGTTCAGAAGGCAACCGCTTGATATTGCGGAACGTCCAGTCGCAAATTTTGGACATATCAGGTAGGTTCTCATTTGGAACCGCTTTTGACAGCAGCACCGTGATGACCTCTACTCCCCCTTCCTGGCATAGCTTCTCCATGCGTGCATCCTTGTCTAGATCATCAGAAGCACCCACGTTTGAGGAATCTGGTTGTGAGCTAGGGCCAGGAACCCCTGCATCAGCACCGGTTGATGGTTGAGATTGGGAGCTACCCTTATCTTCACCAACATACTGCTTCCAGCCTCTGCTGTTCTGAATATCACGGACTATGTCCGTAGGGTTACGCTTTTCCCCATAGATGTTTCCTGGACGTGTAGGCACATTCCACTGGCGTGAAGACTTTCGAGGCTTGGGAGCTGGTGAAGCTTCCTGACTTGGGTGTGGAATTCTACTTCTACGAGTCCTCTGAGGTTCATCCCGACACTCTGACGGTGGGTCCTGACGATTATGACTGTTGTCACCATCATCATTTCCTCGTACGGAAGGTGGTGGAGCTGGATCAGATTGTTGGAGTTGGGAATCCCAGCACCAAGGCAGAATAGCTCAGTGGTTAGAGCACTGGACGATCCAAGTCAGAGGTCCCAGGTTCAATTCCTGGTTCAGCCATTTTATCAACACAGATGGCATGGGAAATGGAAAAGGATCATCTCCATATAGCCAATCTTCTCCGTCTACCTGTGGTGGATCTTGTGGATTCACTGGGTCATCACGTTCTGGAAATTCCTCTCGAACAGAAACGTGGGGTGGTCAATTGCTGTCAGGACAGCAAGGGAACAACTCCTCATCGAATAATGCCTTGGTGGCAACAAACATGGAATTGTTTGTGTGCATGAATAAAAATCCTTTCACACCATCAGGAATGCCCAAGTAAGTCATCAGCTCCGATTTGGGCGATAACTTGTTGGCGCGCTTCTCATCAGGGATAAAGACATATGCAGCACAACCAAAGACTCGGAGTTCAGAAACATCCAGTTTTTCCTTGTGAAGGGCTTCAAATGGAGTTTTCCATTTTAGACGCCTGATAGGTGTCATGTTGTAGATCCGTGTTGCATGTTTAATCGCGAATTCCCAATAAAAATTAGGAAGACAGGCAGTAAAGCGCATAGCTTCTGCCTTATCCATGATCGTACAATTGAAGCGCTTGGCATGCCCATTCTGCTGGTGAGCATATGGAGCACCCTTCTCCACTAGAATTCCTTGTTCCGCAAGAAATTCTTCCATTCCCATCCCCATGAATTCTCCCCCATTGTCAATATGCCACTTTTTGATGGTGACATTAAACTGGTTTTTGACCATCACAATGAAATTGCGCATAGCTTGCTTGGTGTCAGATTTCTGCGCAAGGCATACTGTCCAGCCATAGGAGAGTGCTTCGTTAAAGAAGCTCATGAAGTAACGGTACTTGTGATAAGACACTGTGGGATATTGTTTGAGATCCGAGTGAATCAAATCAAACGGATTCTCCGCTCATTTTTTGGAAGGCGAGAAGGCACGTTGGTGCATTTTCCCTTGCGCGCATCCTTTACGCGGTTGGGTTTCCTCAGGAAATACTAGGTCTTCTGGAAAGCCCTTGGTATTCTTTTTTGCCTGACGTAAAACATCTTTCAACGGATGTGCAAATTGCCGGTGCATGATCTCATAATCCACCTTGTAAACAGTGGACATGGATTGCACTGTCTCAGCCGTGCTAGGCTTTGACATCAGGAAGTACAAGGCAATGTCCTTCCCTAGAGTTCTAAACTCCATGATCGAGAGTGGGGACTTCCCTCGATGTAAGCTGATCTGCAATTCGTCTCCACAAACGCGAGATCCTCCTTTGAGTAAGGAGCCCAAAAACATGAGACGACCATGTAATCCTGGCACTAGGTACACTGGATATATCTGGGAAGTCACCATAGTCTTTTCTCCATGCCTTGTGACGTAATGATCGATGAAGGCTGTTCCTTGACCAATAAGGGCAACACATGTGTTCTTATCAGCAGTCTGAGCAACAATAGGATCTGAGAGCTTCTCATATCCGACCAGATCACTAATCTCTGATGTCACATGGAGAGATGCACCTGAATCAAGAAGCCATAGAGGCCCTAATTCATGATGATGATGATGTTTCCCCTTACACTTAGAGCAGGCAGCAAAATTGAAGTGCACACAGAATAGATTGGTACAAAAATCATGCAAACAAATCATCAACGAATTTAGTACAGAACCCAGGGCGGCGGTGATTACGCGCTCTGGCTGTGAGCAACAATCAGAATTGTGTTGATGTGTGGATATTGTATGTGCTTGGTTCGGACAAAGGGTGTGACATTACTCTGTGACACATAGTATATAGCATCAGATCAATGTGACCTACTGGGCTTTTCGCCTCCCATCTGTGCCCCTAGCCTCCTGCGGCTCCTATCTGTGTTTTCTGTGTTCAACAAATTGTGCATATGCCCAAGAAGGCAGGGTACTTGCCTTTTGGCAGAAGGAGCGTCCATCTCCTCCAGAAGGGTGTTGAAGTCAACGACCTCATCTCAATTGACTGGTTCAGCCTGGGCAAACTCACTATCTCCAAACAGAAGATCAAGATTGTTCTGTTGGCCGGTGGCCATCTCAACATCGGGGATCTCTTTGATACGACTGCGTTTGGCAGGAGGACCACCATCCAGAGTGTGATTCGAGCCAGAAGCAACTGGAGATGGAGAACGCATGATTGCGTCCTTGCGGAGCATTCCTTTCTCATTGACTATCTTGTCAAGAGTCCGGAAGCGTTCTGCGGTCACTGTCATGTCCATCTTTTTGGAAAGCTCAAAGACCTTACAAGTAGGCTTCTGGAACTCGGTGTCAATAATCCCATTGTTGTTAACGGGAGACTTCTCTTGAACCGTGCGGATTTTAGGTCCATCGCGAGAGATGTGCGTGACATGCGAGATTGTTGGCACAGGGATAGACGGAGTGAGCGAGGCAATCGAACCGATAGTGAGGGAGCCAGTGATCTCAGAGACTCCATGGACATGACCATAATCGGCCTTGCCCTTGCCCTTGTTGTCCTTGTTCTTCCCACTGCGCTTGCCTCGACGGTTCTTCTTCTTTCCATCAGCCTTATCACCCTTATCGGGTGCAGAGCCAGAGCCCTGTTGCTGATTGGTGAATGAAGGGTTATTGCGCTTGTGCTTGGTATTGAACTTGGCCACATGATTCTGGTTTTGAGACTGCTTCTGAGCAAAATGCGTCAAGAGAGCGTCGCAAACCACCAAGACCTTAATCTCGTCCTTGTCGTAAGTCTGTAGAACAGTCTCCGTAACAGAGGGAATCCGGGCTATGTTGAGAATGATCATCGCCGTGAGGAACTCAGGAATGATCAAAGACTCATTCTCCAGGCGAGTGAACACTGTAGTGATCACCAGCAGCTGTGGATCCGGGTGCAACCCCACGTTGTACTTGGAGTTCAACGCGGCTTGGAAGTACACGTACAGGTCGGCGCACTGAGCACCACCATATTGGTCCTTCAGATGCTCCCAGATCTTAGCAGCTGACACTACATCGGTGGAGGGAATGTTAGCAATCACACCTTCCGTCAGGCGCAACTTAATGCTGCCTTTGGCTCTGAGGTCATCATGCTTCCATTGTCTGATTTCCGATGCGTTAGACACAGAGCCATCAGATGCTAGGACTTCGGTTGGCACAGTTTCAGTCAGCACATATGAGATCCCCTGATGCTCCAGATAGGACTCCATAGTTCCGGACCAGACAAGCCAGTGCTTTCCATCAAAGATAGAGACAGCATTGAAGATGTTGTTGGAGTTGGACGACATGTTAGATCTGTGTGAGTGATCAGCATCAATCTAATCTGATAGATAAAATCAAAGATAAAGATGATCAGATCCTCATAGATCATAATCTTCTTCAGAGATCAATGCATCTGGATCAAGTGATGTAATCGTGATCTGGCATGGTTTTACCAGTGCTATGCAGCAGCTGAAGTGATGACAGATAGGCTAAAGACGCTGCTCATTGTTGCAGCCAGTGGCAGCGCATACAATGAATGTCGTGGCCACTGAGGCGCAGACATAGCTCTTGGGGCCCATAACCTGTTGAGCACTGGGGAGAGCGTCTAGCAACCCACCTGTGTGAGTTGAGAGCTTAGTGTGGGCACTATGCGGGAGTAGTCAAGGGACTTGTATTAAAGGGTAATAGAGCCCTCCTTATATATGATACAGGGGGCTATTTGTGTCTATTTAGGATGAGTTGACATGACTCTAGATGACACGTGATGGAGTCATAGATGTGTATCACAACATCCATCTTGACAGATGATATTTGATCAACATATTCTGTAGAGCAATACATATCGGGTGATGAGAGAGAGAGAGAGAGAGAGATGATGTAAGTAGTGAGATGTAAGCAAGCAGGCTTGCACTCCTCCCCTCCCCAAAGAACAAACCATATGTAAGGTCGTGTAGGTAGAGAGTAGTAAAGTACAGCCTGCCACGCGGGTGCGTCAAAATAAAACCCAGTGGGAAAAAAGCTACCGGGGCAGGCAAGGCGCAGTCTAGTTCAGTCATCCTTCCTGCATGTCCCTCACAGCGATCCATGCGGTGAGCGCTTCTGAGCCGTTCAGGTCACGTCGCGGCAACCAGCGGTTATCTTCGGGTCCGTGGTGCAAGTAGTGCACCAGGTATTGATTCCCACGGCCACAGCGTCATTTGTCTATGATGTATTCGATAGTTGTTCGGTCCATAGGCACGGAAGCCCGCAGTGAACGACCGGGGAATAATGAGTCGTTGTTTTCCCTGTATGGTTTGATGTCCAAAGCATGGAACACGGGATATACCTGGGGCTGGTTTGGCATGTCAAGCGTGAAAGTGGAGCACTCATTGTGTTTTGCCACCACTGTGTATGGGCCGTCAAAACGGGGCATGTATTTTGCCATGCAGTTATGTCCCTTGCCGATGGCTGCCCACCAATTCTTCGTGGAAAGCTTCACTTGATCACCCACTTTGATGTTGTGGTCTGCACCCCGCGACTTGTTCGCCTGTGTCACCTGAGACATCTTAGCGGCAATCAAGTTGTCCTTCGCCTCCTGCATGTAACAATCAACACAAAATACGATCGAAAATACAAGTCAATTCCAAGACTGGAGAATACAACACAATAGCTACTGTATTTATACCAAGTCCAGTCTGAGTCTTATCTACATTGAAACAAGTCATCTGACTAGGTACCGTGTGGAGCGTTGGTTATGGGTTATGCTGTATCCTTCTGAAGCCCACGCTGCGCGACCTCTATGTAGATAACCCTCTTGAACCCTTAGCCCGGACTGTGTGGTGCCACGATCCGTGATAAGATAATCCCGCGTCAATGAAGAGATAAGTGATTGATGGAATGATTGTAAAAAACGATCGAATCATGACGTTACCCCCTCTTTAGGGTCGATGTCCTCATCGACTTGGCCAATGGGCATGAAGACATTGTTGTAAGGGTCAAAGAGTTGTCGTTGGGGATATGGGAGGTGCTTGTCTTTGGGTTTATAGCAATAGATAAGGTAGTCCCAGTGCCCAGCTTGGAGTATCGGCACAGCGCAAATGCGGGTGTTGGGGTTTGATTGTTTTTTCTCCCAGGCTGCCAGGACTTTCTTTGAGTGGGTAAGATGACGTGATGGTTCCCACGTGTTCTCACTGTGCGGCCATCCCTTCCATTTGACCAAGTATTGTTTCCCTCAGCCGACTTTTCGCTCTTTCACGATCTCTTTGACTTCCCACTCTTCGGCTCCTCCAATCATCTTTGCCACGGGTCTCTTCTCTCGGCAATGGGGAGGCAGTTTGTGATAGGGTGTCAACAGTGACTTGTTGAATACCAGGTGTCTCCAGTCCGTATCTGGCAAATCCAACTTCCATACAGCTGCTCCAACCTTCTCCAGAATTTTGTAAGGTCCTAGTCGTTTGTCACTCATCTTCTTTGATGGTCTATCTGTTGAGGATGGGTTTTGGACTTGATCACTCTCTGGTGATTAGGTCACATGATCATCTGATTCCATCTGATTCTATCACTGATGATATCTGATTCCATCACTGTTCCCATCATTCCATCATTTTGGTCACATGACTTCTGATCACATGATTCCTGTACAGTCACATGCTCCATCCACATAGATAGTTCCTCCCTCCCTGGAGTTCTTCAGCTTCTTACTGTTGACTCCAGGTCTGTAGATTCTTTTCTTGTCTTGTCTTGCAATGCTTGAGCTTCTTACTGTTGACTCCAGTCCTCTCTGCATTTCCTGCTTCAACAGGTTATGGGCCCCGGCCTCTAGAGTGTTGGAGTATGGGCCCCAAGCACTATCGGCAGAATAGCTCAGTTGGTTAGAGCACTGGTTGCACTTATCAGAGGTGCCAGGTTCAATTCCTGGTTCAGCCATTTTACCAACATAGAGTGCCTCTGAGTCATCTATTCTGAGATTTTCGAGTTTTTTCCATTCTCTGATTTTCTCTGCCTGCTGCTGCCTGCTTGCCCCAGTCCTGCTACTGTAGTTGACATCTCTGCTGCCTGTTCTGTTCTCTTTTTCCTCTGCTCTTATAGTGTCTGTGGTTCAGGCACTAGTAGTTGGGACTCTATCCTTAAGTGGGTGTGCTCTTTGGTCTATCAGGAAACACCAGGTAGTCATTCCTGTGATCCTGAGGTTGAGACAGCTAGGTGCCTGAGATCAACACACTCCTGAGAGCCTGTAGCTACATAGATATGTTAAAGCAGGAAATGCAGAGAGGACTGGAGTCAACAGTAAGAAGCTCTGCATTGCAAGAGAAAACAAGAAAAGAATCTACAGACCTGGAGTCAACAGTAAGAAGCTGAAGAACTCCAGGGAGGGAGGAACTATCTATGTGGATGGAGCATGTGACTGTACAGGAATCATGTGATCAGAAGTCATGTGATCAGAATGATGGAATGATGGGAACAGTGATGGAATCAGATATCATCAGTGATAGGATCAGATGGAATCAGATGATCATGTGACCTAATCACCAGAGAGTGATCAAGTCCAAAACCCATCCTCAACAAGATACACCCCGTACATCATTCTGGGCGCATTTTCGAGCACAGCATGGCATCAAATTCCCACTCTCATCCATCAGTCTTTTCTCCTTCTGCTGCTCTGGCAGCTGCACCTGCTTCTGCTCAGCCATTGTGTTATGCCTGTTATCAACATGGCCACACACTCCTAAAATGCCCAGAGTTTCTATCTCGCCTAGAGGACAATGCTTCTGAGCCTGAGCCAGAGCCTGAGCCTGAGCCTAGGCCCAGGCCTAGGAAGGGTGCAGTCAAGTCTGAAGTGGCCACTCATACAAGCCTTCTCTCCCACTCCACTGCAGACCCTGAGTTGAGATGGATTGCAGATTCTGGTGCCACATCACACATGACACACTGTGTGCACCTGCTGCAGAACACTCGTCCTCACAGGGCACCCATCAGAGTGGCTAATGGACTTGTGGTCTATTCAGAGCTTGTGGGGGAGATAGTGCTTAGGCCACTGATCCATGGACATGCCAGGAGCCGGTCTGTGATCCTCTCCAATGTGCTCTATGTCCCTGCTCTGTCACACAATCTGATCTTCACTACATACCTGTCAGTTCACCATGACTACACTGTGCTCATGAAGGAGAACTACATCCTGTTCAAGCGCAATGGTGAAGTGTACTTTGTGGCAGACATCTCAGAGCAGGGTCAGGCACTTGTGAGAGAGACTGGTTTCCCTTCTGCTGGTTCAGCACTGGTCTCTACAGCTGGGACTCTTCCCATCAACCTCAGCCTGATGCACAGGTGGCTTGGACACCACAGTGATACCAAGCTAGTCATGGATAAAGAGCTAGTTACTGGTGTGAGGCTTGCCTCTGCCAGGAAGCCAGACCCCATCTGTGAGCCATGCCTCTTTGGCAAGCTGAATGCTGGCCTGTTTCCCTCAACTGGTCATCGTTCTGGAGCGCCTCTTGATCTCATTCACTCTGATCTAAAGAGCTATTCTGTGCCCACCCGCGAGGGCTGGAAGCACAGGGTGACTTTTGTTGACGATCACACTGGCTTCAAGGTAGCATACCACATGAAGAACAAGAGTGAGACATTTGCAGCCCTTAAGATGTTTCAAGCGTATGCTGAGACTCACTGGGGGCTGAAGATCAAGGCATTCCAGGACGATAAAGGGGGAGAGTACATGTCTAATGAGTTCAGATCACATCTGGACAAGTGTGGCATTGTGCACCGCCATTCAGTCAGGGCACGGCCTCAGCAGAATGGGACAGCAGAGCGGTCTAACCGCACTGTTGATGAGCACTCTACTGCCATGTTACACGAAGCCAACCTGCCCCCTGCATTCAGGGCACTGGCGGTGTCTGCATACATCCATGTGTGCAACATGCACCCCACCAGGACTCCCCATGAGCTGTGGTTCAAGGCAAAGCCTGATGTGTCTCATCTGCGTGTTTGGGGATGCCTTGCCTATGTGCATGTGCAAAGAGAAAAGAGAGGTCCTTCTGGGCATCATGTCCAGAAGTGTATCTTTGTAGGCTATCCTGCAGGGTACAAGGGATGGTTGGTCTTCAACCCAGAGACCCGGAAACTCGTTATCGCTGAGAGAGCACTGTTTGATGAGCGCTACTTCCCAGGCAGCACCCCTCAAGCTATGAGGAGCTGTCCTGCGGCACCTCCCTCCTCCATGCTGGTGGATCCCCCTCGTGCTCGGGCACCGGTGTATGTGCCTGATGACGATGGTGATGATGAGCAGCAACAGCCGCCTGCTCGTATTCTCCCTGCACCACGAGTTCCCTCTCCTGCAGCCAGCAGTGATGATGAAATCGACTTTCTACGTCGAGCTCCACCACCTCCATCTCCACCACCAGCTGGGGATGCCCCGCTTCACCCTCCACCCTCGCCTCCTCCTCCCCAATCTCCAATTGGGGTGGCAGCTCGTCGTGCTGCTGCTGGCATCCATCGTGTCCCTGCACCACCCAGGAGGGCTCCAGCTCCGGCTGCTGCTCCTCCCAGGCGCACCATGGCAGAGATCTTTGAAGAGATCCCTGAAGACCTCAGTGACGATGAGCTGCTTCTGAAGTCATCCTCTGCCCTTATTGTGGCTCGCGAGGGTGACCCCTCAGATCCCAAGCTGGCAGCAGCTCACGCTACTGCAGTGCAGTCCGCGTTGTCTGCTGTAGCCTCTGGGAACCCCCGGTCGTTCTTTGAAGCGTCCAAGCGGGAGGATGGTCCACTATGGCGCGCTGCAGCTGCTTCAGAGATTGACTCTCTGCTCAGCAACTGCACATGGGATGTGGTCGACTTGCCACAAAGGGTCAAGCCAATTCGCTCTCAATGGGTGTTTGTGATCAAACACAAGTCTGATGGCGCTGTGGAACGCTACAAAGCCAGACTCGTGGCAGATGGTCGTGGCCAGCGCTATGGCATTGACTACCATGAGGTGTTTGCACCCACCTTCCGCCCTGCTACTCTGCGCGTCATCCTTGCGCTTGCAGCCCAGAACAACCTCAAGCTGCGCTCCATCGACTTCTCTTCTGCCTATCTGAATGGGGACCTGGATGAGGATGTCTACATGACTCAGCCAGAAGGGTTCCCCCAGGGAGAGAAGGGCCAGGTCCTGAAGCTGAACCGGTCCATCTATGGGCTGAAGCAGGCTGGCCGCCAGTGGCGCATCAAGTTGGTTGCCAAGCTGACTGCCATGGGGTTCAAGTGCATCAAGTCTGACAGCTCCTGCCACATCTACTCTGATGGTGTGGTCCGCGTGATCCTGCCCATCTATGTTGATGATGGCACCATTGCTGCAAAGCATGATGTTGACATTGACAAGGTCATTGCCCAGCTTCGCACAGCCTTCAAGGTGCGGGATCTGGGTCCTACAGAGTGGCTTCTGGGGATCAAGATAGAGCGTGATGAGCACACTGGAGACATCAGCATCTCCCAGCGCCAGTATGCTGTGAACCTCCTGGAGCAGTATGGCATGGCTGACTGCAAGCCTGTGGACACCCCCATGCTGCCTGGCCTGTCTCTGACCAAGGAGATGGGAGCCAAGACTGAGGAGGAGTCCAAGCAGTTCAAGGGCAACTATCTGTCTGCTGTTGGCTCTCTGATGTACCTGGCCTGTCAGACTCGCCCTGACATCTCCTATGCTGTGGGGGTCTTGGCACGCTTCAATAGCAATCCTGGTGAAGAGCACTGGAAGGCTGTCAAGCACTTGCTTCAATACATCCAGGGCACCCTTGACTTCCGCATCACCTACTCCAAATCCTCTCCCACCCTCTATGACCCAGCCACCCACATCCATCCTGACGACCTCTTCACCACCTTCACTGATGCTGATCATGCTGGAGACAAGGACTCTATGAAAAGCACTGGGGGGTATGTCATTATGATGGCTGGTGGACCAGTGAGCTGGAGGAGCAAGCTGCAGTCCACCATCTCTCTGTCCACCACTGAGGCAGAGTATGTGGCTGGTGTGGATGCTGGGAAGGAGATCAAGTAGATGCGGAATCTGCTGCATGAGCTGGAGCATGGTGTGTCTGGGGCTTCTCCCTTGATGATGGACAACCAGTCTGCCATTTCTGTGTCCAAGAATCCTGAACACCATGGGCGTATGAAACATCTGGACCTGGCTCACTACTGGCTCAGAGATGAAGTTGTCAGAGGGTTCATTGATGTGAAGTATGTTCCAACGCAGGACCAGCTGGCTGACATTATGACCAAGGCGCTGCCTCGGCCTCAGGTGGCAAGGTTGCGCACACTGATGAGATTGCGGGGGAGAGGCTGAGAGACTGATCTTATCCCGGGGGAGTGTTGGTAATGGGTTTTGGACTTGATCACTCTCTGGTGATTGGGTCACATGATCATTTGATTCCATCTGATCCTATCACTGATCACATCACTGATGATATCTGATTCCATCACTGTTCCCATCATTCCATCATTTTGGTCACATGACTTCTGATCACATGATTCCTATACAGTCACATGCTCCATCCACATAGATAGTTCCTCCCTCCCTGGAGTTCCTCAGCTTCTTACTGTTGACTCCAGGTCTGTAGATTCTTTTCTTGTCTTGTCTTGCAATGCAGAGCTTCTTACTGTTGACTCCAGTCCTCTCTGCATTTCCTGCTTCAACATCCAAGCCACCTGTGCATCAGGCTGAGGTTGATGGGAAGAGTCCCAGCTGTAGAGACCAGTGCTGAACCAGCAGAAGGGAAACCAGTCTCTCTCACAAGTGCCTGACCCTGCTCTGAGATGTCTGCCACAAAGTACACTTCACCATTGCGCTTGAACAGGATGTAGTTCTCCTTCATGAGCACAGTGTAGTCATGGTGAACTGACAGGTATGTAGTGGAGATCAGATTGTGTGACAGAGCAGGGACATAGAGCACATTGGAGAGGATCACAGACCGGCTCCTGGCATGTCCATGGATCAGTGGCCTAAGCACTATCTCCCCCACAAGCTCTGAATAGACCACAAGTCCATTAGCCACTCTGATGGGTGCCCTGTGAGGACGAGTGTTCTGCAGCAGGTGCACACAGTGTGTCATGTGTGATGTGGCACCAGAATCTGCAATCCATCTCAACTCAGGGTCTGCAGTGGAGTGGGAGAGAAGGCTTGTATGAGTGGCCACTTCAGACTTGACTGCACCCTTCCTAGGCCTGGGCCTAGGCTCAGGCTCAGGCTCTGGCTCAGGCTCAGAAGCATTGTCCTCTAGGAGAGACAGAAACTCTGGGCATTTTAGGAGTGTGTGGCCATGTTGATAACAGGCATAACACAATGGCTGAGCAGAAGCAGGTGCAGCTGCCAGAGCAGCAGAAGGAGAAAAGACTGATGGATGAGAGTGGGAATTTGATGCCATGCTGTGCTCAAAAATGCGCCCAGAATGATGTAGGGGGTGTATCTATGTAGCTACAGGCTCTCAGGAGTGTGTTGATCTCAGGCACCTAGCTGTCTCAACCTCAGGATCACAGGAATGACTACCTGGTGTTTCCTGATGGACCAAAGAGCACACCCACTTAAGGATAGAGTCCCAACTACTAGTGCCTGAACCACAGACACTATAAGAGCAGAGGAAAAAGAGAACAGAACAGGCAGCAGAGATGTCAACTACAGTAGCAGGACTGGGGCAAGGAGGCAGCAGCAGGCAGAGAAAATCAGAGAATGGAAAAAACTCAAAAATCTCAGAATAGATGACTCAGAGGCACTCTAGAGGCAGGGGCCCATAACCTGTTGAAGCAGGCAATGCAGAGAGGACTGGAGTCAACAGTAAGAAGCTCTGCATTGCAAGAGAAAACAAGAAAAGAATCTACAGACCTGGAGTCAACAGTAAGAAGCTGAAGAACTCCAGGGAGGGAGGAACTATCTATGTGGATGGAGCATGTGACTGTACAGGAATCATGTGATCAGAAGTCATGTGACCAAAATGATGGAATGATGGGAACAATGATGGAATCAGATATCATCAGTGATAGGATCAGTGATAGGATCAGATGGAATCAAATGATCATGTGACCCAATCACCAGAGAGTGATCAAGTCCAAAACCCATCACCAACACGCAAATGTTGCGACGTTTCCGCCTAGTCAAGATTGGAAGATCAGCCACCTCAGTTCCAAAATTCACCTCCTCGACTACACCCGTCCTGATGATGCCTTCCTCGTCGTCAAGATCATAACCTTCTGGCAGGTTCTCGTGTGGATTGAGAACGACATTTCGCACGACAGCGAGGGGGACATCGCTTTCGTCAGGTGATTGGCCGTGTTCCGTATCGGGCTCTTCTTCGTCTGGAAAATCTTCCTCTTCCTCTTCGTCTTCATATTCCATCTTCTCCTCCAAGTCGGACTTCGGTGCAGCCTTGGCCTTCGTTTTTTTCTTTTGCTTCTCCGTGGATGTGATTTGCACAGACGCCTCTGGATCAGTCCGCGGGAGTTCTCGCAAGATCTCAAGCATCTTGGGAGATGTCAAGCTGGCATGCGACGAGTTGAAATCCCCAGCGCGGCACATTTCGAAGGCCTGCGACCCGAATCAGCAGCTGGAATCAAGATTCAAAAGAAAACAGACCTTTTGAACCAACTCTCGATCGTTGCAGGCATGGAACGCATCGATGATCCATCCAACACACCGATCGCGTAGAGTCGTAACTGTAGTGTCCAATTTGCCCACAAGTGCGCTGGACTTCAGCAGCGAAGACGCTTCTGCAACGACATCTTCATGGGCTGAGAGCTTCATAGCATGCTTCATCACCCGCTGGACTCCAACGTCGAGAGGTTGGAAAAGGCCGGTGCAACCACCAGGAACAAAACAGATCAGGATACGAGGATGACTCGCCTTCATCCAAGTCAGGAACTCGTCTGACCGATGGACAGACCCGCAATTGATCTTCCAAAGGCTGTACTGAGTCTCCGGAAGTTTCAGCCTCGCTTTCGTGTCTTCGAAGTGTGGGGCAAGGATGTTGTCAACGAACGAATGCATTGTTGTGTGAGTCGACCAATAGGTTCCATTCCCGGAGGGCTCAAAGCGAAATCCGAGCTTCGAAGCCTCGTCATAGCGTGGAGCGTTCTTGTGAGGACATGAAGCAGTGGTTTTACCCGAGAATATTGCCTGCATAGGTAGCAGTGTCCCATCGGTGGCAATCGAGGGGAAGAGAGTGAATGCGCGCTTCTCTTCCATGCCGACCGTGTTAACTTGCTTTGCACCGCGTTTGCTCCAGGTCGTCTTTGTCCCTTGCTGGTAGACAATCTGTGTCTGATCAGAATTGACTCTCAAGGCAGCAGGAATATTATAGTCCCGAACGAGAAGCGCCTCGCGGAGATTCGCAATCTCGAGGATTCGATCTACGTTCTCCGGAATCTTCTGAGCCGCTCGGGTGGCACGTCGTTGGCTGAAGCCCATGAAGTTCCGCAGGAACTTGCGTACAAAACTATCTGAGCACTTGAAGGAGCTGTTGTCAGGCGCGACACGACTGAATAGATTGGGCTGGTGCTTCTCAATCAACGCGACCATAACTGCTCGAATTGACACAAGAGTGAGAGGAGCACCTCGATCGCGCAAGTCATTGATCTGATCCCGAATTGCACCGATCAAGACGGGATACGAATCCTATTCAGTTTGTAAATATCACTGCAATGTCCGCGATATGAACGGCTTACCAGGATGCCTGAGCGCGTTGATTGTCCACCGGGTGCATTTCCCTTTGCCACCCTAGTCAAACATGATTCGCTCCAATGCGAGATCCCACGAGAGCTTTCGATCCACGTCCCAATGGTCTGGGGTGCAAGACGCTTGAACAGTGTTTTATTGAGAAGCTGAGCTTGCCGCCAGATATCAATCGGGCTCCATGAACCCGCGCGCTTGCGAGCAAGGACAAGTTGCGGCCAGATCAGAGGATGTTGCCAATTGACGCGCTTAGCATCCTCAGGAGGACCGGTGTGCTTCGGCTTGCATCCCCTTTTTGGCTTGGAGCTACCGGCATCGGCGTGCAATTTACGCGATAATTTACGCGCAGGTCTAGACACCTCAGCAAGATCGTCGATGTCGCTGTCATCATCATAGTCCCGTAACACCGCCGCTTTCTGGATGTGACATGAACCATCAGTCCATTCGGTGATAAGTATGATTGAACATACCCGTTTTTTCCCGGTCTCTATGCCCGATGCAATAGCAAGTGCCTTCTTGTTGGCGCGGGACTTTGCCTGGCTGAGTCGGTTGCGCTCCCGCTTATCTTTCTTTGCTAAGAAGTTGGCTTCCGCAATCTCCGCCAATTTCGACTCTCGAGTCGATCTGAATTTCTTGTTTGCCAGAGCAGTCTTGCGATCCTTCTCCTTGCGGGTTATCCTCTTGAAAAACGATCTCACACTTGGTTGTGGCCCCTCGTCATCAGACAGGTTCGTGACTCGTTTGGTCTTTGCAGCCACCTTTGACTGAGTCCCGGCCGGCTTTGACATCCCAGCCTTTCCACTCTGGAAGACATTGGCAAGCGCGGAAGTTGATTGCACCGGCTGCTCATTTGAATAAGCCGTAGGAAGATTGATGGGCAGCGGTGGGTCGCGTGGAGTTGGATGAGATATCTGCACTCGCTTTTTGGAAGGGCTCGGTGCAGGAGTCAGAGCATCTGGATTCCCGCGCTCTCGTTTGAGACTGATCCCAGACATCGACGAGTGCAACTCGGAGACATCGTCCTCCATGACTGTTTGAGGTTTCGACGGGCTCTGGCATTCGAATGTGAAGGCTGGTGCTGACTGGGCAAGCTTCGAGAACGAACGCGGCTGCGGTGGAAGATCCTCCGTTCCATCATCACTGCCATCAGACGAGCAAATGTCCTCCGCCTCTATGAAAGTGCTGGCACGCTCATCGGCAATCTGTGTGAATTTGATCAGTTTGAATACCAAAAGAGACTCGATTGGCACATACGCGATCAAGAGAACGTGCGACTAGATGATTAAACATCTCAAGCCGCGGAACGGGGAAGTCTGATTGTTCCAGAGGCACGGCATCGGGGAAGGCGGCACGAAAGACAGTGTCGCACGCAAAAAAACCACAGGAGTCCCCATCTGTCTGCTTTGATATCTTCTCGAATGATCCGGTTTTGAGATCGCTAAGGCCGTGCTGAGATGCCCACCAGCGAAAGGCATCAGTCAAGGCTGTCGGTGCCTCATGCCCCAGCGAATCACCGTAGCGCAGCATGTCAGCTTCTCCATCCACCTCGATTCCCACCCAATGCTTCTCGCCGCTGTAAGTCCCGAGATGTACGACTGTGAGAAGTGTCTGTTTCAGTTCAAACACATCAGATCCGACAGCGGAGATCCATCGCGTGTTGGCCGACTGTTCGTAGTCCTGACTGCTTGCTGGTGCTTGGCTGAACGCTTGTTGTATCTTGTCCGCAAGATTCACACCCTCCACAATGTACTTCTCGAGAAGCTTTTGGTCCCCGGCAATCTGGTCTCGCAACAACTCTAGGATATCGTCAACATCGGTGCTGCTGAGCCATGTTTTACGGAGGAAACGGTACATGGTGTGCATCGGGCTACGGTCCGACAATCCCCGCTTGCCTCGGTTCCACGGGATCTCGGCAAGGTACCCCAAAGTCTTCTTCGCCTCTGCCCGAACCTCTGGGCTCTTCCGAACCTGTGCTCTCTCCTGCACCCACTTCTGAACCAGCGACCAGATGCTCCGAATCTTCCTGATCTCGTGAACACGCTCCCAAAACACAAGAACCCAGAGAGGGTAGCGACTCGCTGCCTCCGCATCTCCAATCACATGCTTGTACGTGATGGAGTTGGCGCCGTTGAGCCACTGCTGGCTGCCTTGTTCCCGAATGCGAGCGATATCCTTGCTGGTGGGGATGGGGAGACGGCGCAGTCGGATAGCGAGTGAAGATCCATCGAGATCCGGTAGGTCCTTGCTGAACATCGCCTGTCTGCTTCCTTCATCCAACGCGATTTCCGTGTGCTTGGGGAGATTCGTGCAAGCCTGCTTGCTTACGTAGTTACTGACATCATCATCATCTCTCGCTCTCTCTCTCGACTTCCACTACGATACGTATCACTCTTAGAATACAGCTTGATTCAGATTCATCCCTTGTCTCGACGACCCCTCTTTTCCTCATTCACCTCTCGGACTTAGTGTTTCTCACCTGGGTAAACCAGGTGAGCTTCCACTTTTTTTGAATCTTCAATCGACGCTGTAGACACGTACCTTTTCGATAAGCGGTTTTACTTCCGTGGATCAAAGGGCGTGTTCTGTCAGGGATAGTGAGCTGCACCCGCCACACCCATAAACAACGCTAGCCATCGCGCAGCCACCCACCCGCCCGCTAAAATGAGGGCTAACCTACGACCTAGACTTGACGGACACGTTATCACACGCCATTCCACTAAGGCGACGCCCTTGCCCACCCGGCCCATCACCCGCAGTCGAAGGACGCGAGACCGTGCCCTGACGACTTCCCCATTGCCGAATACCGATCCTGCACCGTCCACTGTGTCGACAAACGCTCTGCTTGCACAACCAGAACCTGTTACCCCTGGGACGTCGCTAATCACTACGTCAAAGACTCCAGTTCCCCCTTTAGTCAAACTCGCCAAGACCCGCTCCCGTCGTCGTTCCTCTTCACCACGCCCAAACGAGATGACACGGAGCGAAGACATGCTTGTACTTGCACACGGAAAACTCCCCATCATCCGTGCCGGAGACCTCACGCCCTCGGTACTCTCTCAGGCGGAAAAGGCATGCCGATCGTATTTCAAACAGAAAGAAATTGAGGACGACAAGCAGGTCGCCTACTGCTTGGAAATCTTTGAAGACCCCATGATTGACTCGTATTTGACATCCGAGGAGTCACGCTTGGCCGAACTCACACTTGCTCAATTCTTCACGGACATCGCGGACACCTTCTTGTTGAAGCAGGAAATGCAGAGAGGACTGGAGTCAACAGTAAGAAGCTCTGCATTGCAAGAGAAAACAAGAAAAGAATCTACAGACCTGGAGTCAACAGTAAGAAGCTGAAGAACTCCAGGGAGGGAGGAACTATCTATGTGGATAGAGCATGTGACTGTATAGGAAGCATGTGATCAGAAGTCATGTGACCAAAATGATGGAATGATGGGAACAGTGATGGAATCAGATATCATCAGTGATGAGATCAGTGATGAGATCAGATGGAATCAGATGATCATGTGACCCAATCACCAGAGAGTGATCAAGTCCAAACCCATCCTCAACACTCCCCCGGGATGAGATCAGTCTCTCAGCCTCTCCCCCGCAATCTCATCAGTGTGCGCAACCTTGCCACCTGAGGCCGAGGCAATGCCTTGGTCATGATGTCAGCCAGCTGGTCCTGCGTCGGCACATACTTCACATCAATGAACCCTCTGGCTACTTCATCTCTGAGCCAGTAGTGTGCCAGGTCCAGATGCTTCATACGCCCATGGTGTTCAGGATTCTTGGACACAGAAATGGCAGACTGGTTGTCCATCATCAAGGGAGAAGCCCCAGACACACCATGCTCTAGCTCATGCAGCAGATTCCGCATCCACTTGATCTCCTTCCCAGCATCCACACCAGCCACATACTCTGCTTCAGTAGTGGACAGAGAGATGGTGGACTGCAGCTTGCTCCTCCAGCTCACTGGTCCACCAGCCATCATAATGACATACCCCCCAGTGCTTTTCATGGAGTCCTTATCTCCAGCATGATCAGCATCAGTGAAGGTGGTGAAGAGGTCGTCAGGATGGATGTGGGTGGCTGGGTCATAGAGGGTGGGAGAGGATTTGGAGTAGGTGATGCGGAAGTCAAGGGTGCCCTGGATGTATCGAAGCAGGTGCTTGACTGCCTTCCAGTGCTCTTCACCAGGATTGCTGTTGAAGCGCGCTAGCACCCCCACAGCATAGGAGATATCAGGGCGAGTCTGACAGGCCAGGTACATCAGAGAGCCAACAGCAGACAGATAGTTGCCCTTGAACTGCTTGAACTCCTCCTCAGTCTTGGCTCCCATCTCCTTGGTCAGAGACAGGCCAGGCAGCATGGGGGTGTCCACAGGCTTGCAGTCAGCCATGCCATACTGCTCCAGGAGGTTCACAGCATACTGGCGCTGGGAGATGCTGATGTCTCCAGTGTGCTCATCACGCTCTATCTTGATCCCCAGAAGCCACTCTGTAGGACCCAGATCCCGCACCTTGAAGGCTGTGCCAAGCTGGGCAATGACCTTGTCAATGTCAACATCATGCTTTGCAGCAATGGTGCCATCATCAACATAGATGGGCAGGATCACGCGGACCACACCATCAGAGTAGATGTGGCAGGAGCTGTCAGACTTGATGCACTTGAACCCCATGGCAGTCAGCTTGGCAACCAACTTGATGCGCCACTGGCGGCCAGCCTGCTTCAGCCCATAAATGGACCGGTTCAGCTTCAGGACCTGGCCCTTCTCTCCCTGGGGGAACCCTTCTGGCTGAGTCATGTAGACATCTTCATCCAGGTCCCCATTGAGATAGGCAGAAGAGAAGTCGATGGAGCGCAGTTTGAGGTTGTTCTGGGCAGCGAGGGCAAGGATGACGCGCAGAGTAGCAGGGCGGAAGGTGGGTGCAAACACCTCATGGTAGTCAATGCCATAGCGCTGGCCACGACCATCTGCCACGAGTCTGGCTTTGTAGCGTTCCACAGTGCCATCAGACTTGTGTTTGATCACAAACACCCATTGAGAGCGAATTGGCTTGACCCCTTGTGGCAAGTCGACCACATCCCATGTGCAGTTGCTGAGCAGAGAGTCAATCTCAGATGCAGCTGCAGCGCGCCATAGTGGACCATCCTCCCGCTTGGACGCTTCAAAGAACAACCTGGGGTTCCCAGAGGCTACAGCAGACAACACGGACTGCACTGCAGTAGCGTGAGCTGCTGCTAGCTTGGGATCTGAGGGGTCACCCTCGCGAGCCACAATCAGGGCTGAGGATGACTTCAGAAGCAGCTCATCGTCGCTGAGGTCTTCAGGGATCTCTTCAAAGATCTCTGCCATGGTGCGCCTGGGAGGAGCAGCAGCCGGAGCTGGAGTCCTCCTGGGTGGTGCAGGGACACGATGGATGCCAGCAGCAGCACGACGAGCTGCCACCCCAATTGGAGATTGGGGAGGAGGAGGCGAGGGTAGAGGGTGAAGCGGGGCATCCCCAGCTGGTGGTGGAGATGGAGGTGGTGGAGCTCGACGCAAGAAGTCGATTTCATCATCACTGCTGGCTGCAGGAGAGGGAACTCGTGGTGCAGGGAGAGGACGAGCAGGCGGCTGTTGCTGCTCCTCGTCACCATCGTCATCAGGGACATACACCGGTACCGGAGCACGGGGGGGATCCACCAGCATGGAGGAGGGGGGTGCCGCAGGACAGCTCCTCATCGCTTGAGGGGTGCTGCCTGGGAAGTAGCGCTCATCAAACACTGCTCTCTCAGCGATCACGAGCTTCCGAGTCTCTGGGTTGAAGAACAACCATCCCTTGTACCCTGCAGGATAGCCTACAAAGATACACTTCTGGACATGATGCCCAGAAGGACCTCTCTTGTCTCTTTGCACATGCACATAGGCAAGGCATCCCCAAACACGCAGATGAGACACATCAGGCTTTGCCTTGAACCACAGCTCATGGGGAGTCATGGTAGGGTCTCGAGCTGTGGGGTGCATGTTGCACACATGGATGTATGCAGACACTGCCAGTGCCCTGAATGCAGGGGGCAGGTTGGCTTCGTGTAACATGGCAGTGGAGTGCTCATCAACGGTGCGGTTAGACCGCTCTGCTGTTCCATTCTGCTGAGGCCGTGCCCTAACTGAATGGCGGTGCACAATGCCACACTTGTCCAGATGTGATCTGAACTCATTAGACATGTACTCTCCCCCTTTATCGTCCTGGAATGCCTTGATCTTGAGCCCCCAGTGAGTCTCAGCATACGCTTGAAACATCTTAAGGGCTGCAAAAGTCTCACTCTTGTTCTTCATGTGGTATGCTACCTTGAAGCCAGTGTGATCATCAACAAAAGTCACCCTGTGCTTCCAGCCCTCGCGGGTGGGCACAGAGTAGCTCTTTAGATCAGAGTGAATGAGATCAAGAGGCGCTCCAGAACGATGACCAGTTGAGGGAAACAGGCCAGCATTCAGCTTGCCAAAGAGGCATGGCTCACAGATGGGGTCTGGCTTCCTAGCAGAGGCAAGCCTCACACCAGTAACTAGCTCTTTATCCATGACTAGCTTGGTATCACTGTGGTGTCCAAGCCGCCTGTGCATCAGGCTGAGGTCAATGGGAAGAGTCCCAGCTGTAGAGACCAGTGCTGAACCAGCAGAAGGGAAACCAGTCTCTCTCACAAGTGCCTGACCCTGCTCTGAGATGTCTGCCACAAAGTACACTTCACCATTGCGCTTGAACAGGATGTAGTTCTCCTTCATGAGCACAGTGTAGTTGTGGTGAACTGACAGGTATGTAGTGGAGATCAGATTGTGAGACAGAGCAGGGACATAGAGCACATTGGAGAGGATCACAGACCGGCTCCTGGCATGTCCATGGATCAGTGGCCTAAGCACTATCTCCCCCACAAGCTCTGAATAGACCACAAGTCCATTAGCCACTCTGATGGGTGCCCTGTGAGGACGAGTGTTCTGCAGCAGGTGCACACAATGGGTCATGTGTGATGTAGCACCAGAATCTGCAATCCATCTCAACTCAGGGTCTGCAGTGGAGTGGGAGAGAAGGCTTGTATGCGTGGCCACTTCAGACTTGACTGCACCCTTTCTGGGCCTAGGCCTAGGCTCAGGCTCAGGCTCTGGCTCAGGCTCAGAAGCATTGTCCTCTAGGAGAGACAGAAACTCTGGGCATTTTAGGAGTGTGTGGCCATGTTGATAACAGGCATAACACAATTGCTGAGCAGAAGCAGGTGCAGCT